TTCTGTTGAAAAGTTGTGAAAAAAGGTACATTTATGTACTCAATACTTGGCCAGGGCTCCTTTTGCATGAATTACTGCATCAGTGCAGCATGGCATAGACACAATCGGCCTGTGGCTCTGCTGAGGTTTTATGGAAGCCCAGGTTGCTTTGATAGCAGCCTTCAGCTTGTCTGTATTGTTGGGTCTGGGGTAATTTTCCTCTTTCCTCTATTGTCAAGAGGAAAATGTTTATGGGGTTCAAGTCGGCTGGTCAACCAAGCAAAGTAATACCATGGTCAGCAAACCAGTTACTTGTGGATTTGACACTGTGAGCTAAAACCAAGTTCTGCTGAAAAAGGACATCAGCATCTCTATAAAGCTTGTCAGTAAAATCTCCTGCTGGACAGCTGTATTGACTCTGGACTTGATAAAACTTAGTGGACCCATTCCTTGACACGTCTGTGCGTGGTGGCTCTTGATGCACTGACTCCAGGCTTAGTCCAGTCCAGTACCACACCTTAACCTTCCAGTCAACTTTCCATAAATATGCTTTGATACAGCACTCTGTGAACAGCCAGCCCTTCCAGCAATGACCTGGCTTACCCTCCTTGTGGAGGGTTTCAATGTCAATCTTCTGGACAACTGTCAAGAGAGATAAAAGGCTCTTCTCAGGTCCACATTTCTGTATTAAACATTCTTTATTCTTATATTCCAAAATTTTGAGATATGTATTTTTGATTTCCATGAACTGTTAGCCGGAATCTTAAATATTAAAAGAAGAAAAGGCCTAAAATATTTCACTTTATATGTAATGAATCTAAAATAAGTGAAATCTGAATATCTGAAAAAAACTTATACCCAATATTCTAATTTTCTGAGATACACCTGGATGGTTAAAATACATACCAGGCTATGTAAATGTCATTTGTGTTTTGGCTGCTTGTCTCTGTGCTTTGCACTCCTACTTTTCCGATCTGGTGGCTTAGCAAAAAAATCTCAATCAGCTCTCCCTTCGGCTCCTTCCCATTAATTTCTTCCAGTGCCTTCATTGCACTATCACTCTCAAAGTGAATGAAAGCGTAGTCTTTGAAGTCTTTGGCTGTGGTTCAGGTGGTAGAGCTGGTCACCTTAGGGTCGCTGTTGCAACTCCCAGCTCCCCCAGTCTAGTCGAAGTGTCCTTTGATAAGATACTGAAACCCAAATTGCTCCCTGTGGTTGTGCCGTTGGTGTGCGAGTGTGTGTGTATGGGTTATCTTAGTATTGCTCCTGATGATGCTATAAGTGTATGAATGTGTGTAAATGGGTCAATTTGACAACTGTTGTAAAGCGCTTTGAGTGGTTGGAAGACCACAAAAGTCCATTTACCATTTACTATGCAACCAACAAAATATTTTTTCAAAGTAATAATTAAATATCCTGTAATCAAAGTGAAATGTATGCATGTGTTGTGTTCCATCTTGAAGCAGCACATAGCCATTTCCCGTGTTAAATCTGCTCATGACATCCATGTTGTTATCATTTTTGTTTTTCTATTTTTACATTAAATGACAACCTACAGATTTAAAGAAAACACCGTATCAGCCAGTCAGGGGCTGGGAATATTCTATAATATATAATGATTTTTTCTAAGATATTTTTTTGTGGTTACCTGTTGCTCATTCAGCTTTTCTGTAAATACATAAAAGCTTTTGTAAAGTGCCTCATAGATTTTATGGAGCCTTGCAGAATTGCAACCAAAATAAACAAAATGTGTTTTAAGTCATGTAGATGTAGACTGTGTCACGTTTTTTTTCCCAGAAGCCCTATGGCCATAAATCTTGTGTTACTTCTATATTTGACAAGCCTCCATCCACTCCAAAGAAAGCACTGGCACCAAGCGATCACCACTTGAAATACATACTGTACACTGTATTTGAAAACCACAATTGCAGGTTTATGTCCATAAGAAGCTCAAGCAATGATATAGTTCTCAACAGTATCAGGTTTTGTTTTCTGAGACTCATTTAGAATAGATCTTAATTAATTTTCATGAAGTGAGCATTGTGCAACTTTTTTTTGGGTTATTTTGATAGGCAGCATAATAAAAAGATCAATTAATATGGAGATATTCTTCAGGCAGCGCGTGTATTAGGAATAATTATAGTCCGTTTTCTTTGGCGCTGCTGTCTTTGCTTCCGTTATCATTCTTTAGAGTTTGAGCGCAACCTAATGCATTTTTCCAATGGCCTCTTGTACTAGTGCCAATTTAAACAGTCAATAAACCAAGAAATTACTTATAACGACAGAATGATTTAATCATTGTCTGTCAGATTAAAAATGGGAAAAATAAAGATAACCTTGTTAGAAGTGACCCAGAATGCACTGAAGTACCAAATGTGTGCCATAAACTGTTCCTTGGAAGAAAGCTTTATGACAAGTCTGCAAGCTTCTTGTCCATCACAAGTCACCCATGCTGAATCTCATTTAAAAGCACTTGCCCCTTATTCTCCGTGCCTAAAAACACAGAGGATTATGGGAAATGACAGGCATGATTCTGGAGCCTTTTACAACCAGGGGATGTGGTCACAGCCTCTTGTTAGAGTCCCTTTTACAGTTCTCTATTTTAGAACCTCACATGGATTAGTGCGACACATCTCACAGGTGCTCATTACAATGACCAGTGTCACCCCTTTCCTTTTCTGCTTTAACCGCACAGCCAAGAGAGCCGAGCTGAACTGGATTTGACACGAAGCCTGTAAAAACATCAGAGCTCATGGAGGATGTGAATCTGGGCTTGAAAGCGGGAGGAAAAACACAGGAGATACGCTCTCCAGCTCCCTTCAAAGCAGGAAAAGGAACAGTAGTCCACACACCTCCTCCTCATCACTCTTGTTACTCACGCACAGTTTTTGTGTATGTTTAATCTGAGTGTTAAATGGAGAGCTGTGGAGGTTGGGCACACTGTGAACGGATGCAATCATGATGACCAAGAAGCCGGGCCGCAGTAACTTTCTGTGTGTGTCATCAGCGTGTTTCCATGCAATTCAATCAGTGATTGAACTCAAGCATCGGAGAAGTAGCATGGAGAGCAGTTGTGTTTATTATGCTGTATTAAGTTTTAGCCAAAGAACATCTAAGAGCGAGCAGGTGCTTCTGAGCTCGAAGCATGTTTGTTTTACTTTGTAAAAGACCCAGGCTGGGTAGAGCGTTTCATTTAATCCCTTTTAACAAACAGCAATTAGGTTTGCTAATGAGACCCTGGGTTAGATGTATTAAGACCCTCGTTTGTCCAGCTTTTCTGTCTTCTTTTTCCCTTTTAGTCTTCCATCCTTCTTCACATTGTTTTTTCTTTTTTACTGTTTCACAGTCAGGCTCTCAGACACACACAGATGCACACACTTAACTTGAGCTCTGTCTGAGTTTGCTCACCATTGTGTCTGAGCTCTATTGCCTTAAGCCACCCAGCTCCAGCACCCAGTTGCAAATTCTCAGTGCTTCCTAATTTAGACAGCTTTTCCCTTTATTCCAAATAAAATACCTGGATGGGAAGGCAAACTCATAAATCTACTTTTCTAACAACAACAACATCCAGAATGATCTCTCTTGATGGTAGAGAAGAGCTACTACTTCTCCTCCCCCTGGGGAATCCCTGGTGATTGATTTACATGCAGACCGAGTCCAACTCACCCGAACGGTTTAGGAGACAAAGTATTTCCACCTGCTGTGCCGCCATGCACGCCAAGCTGAAAGGGATAGGTCTCTGTGCCACTGGCACTCCTGGCAGACAAGTGTGCCAAACAAGGCAAGTACCAGAGAAAATCAGTGGTTTCATTGGCCATGAGATATCACTTCTCTCAGTCAGCCTTAGAACAACATCATGGCTGGGCAGCTGCAAAACAATAAGGACACAAAATTGTTCTTTAAGAAGAAGCATGTTTAATGTCCCCATTTATGAATCATGTGTCTGAGAGCATGCTTGAACTCATAAATGCTGCCTACCATACTGTGGAGCCTGACAGTATCTTTCTCATGTCACTCTTAAGGGAGTGTGTTCACTAAAAAGAATGTAGTGTTTTCTTGGGCATTGCCTTTGTTATACTTGCAAATAATTTTCATTATATGCAACCATGCCAAGTGGGCACTTTAAATTGATATTGGGGAAAACAATTTTTTAATGTAACGTGTAAAACAGTGGTATTGCCTGTTTACACATTCAAAAGTATAAGCTGCTTTTCCACTTACCTTGAAGAAGAATAAGGAATACCTGTGTGAACTTACTTGCTGTGTATAAACAAAAAATTTCCTGACTGTTTTCACTATAATGTTTGTCTGCAGGACAGTGCCAAACCAGTAGTGAGAGAGGAAATAGGCTCTCAAATATGTGGTCTTGTGGACACTCTAAAAGGAAAGCATACAGGGATTTTATTATTATGAAAACATTTGACTTGACATTTTAGACTTCGCACAGACAGACTGCAACTGCTGTTAGTGAACATAAACTCAGCAAAAAAAAGAAATGTCCCATTTTCAGGACACTGTATTTTAAGGCACAAACTTTACAGATCTTTATTGTAAAGGGTGTAAACAATGTTTTTCATGCTTGTTCAATGAACCTGCACCTGTGGAATGGTCGTTGAGATACTAACATCATGCAGATGGTAGGCAATTAAGGTCACAGTTATAAAAACTTAGAACACTAAAGAGACATTTCACCAAAAGAAAGATACCCAGGGTCTCTGCCCATCTAATCATTTTCATTTAGCCCCAAGAGTATGCCACCCTGCGTTTCAGTGCACATATTATGAACATGTGAAAATATAATCAGTATGCAGATTTTCCAACTAAGACACACTATGCAGCATGCTAATGGCAGAGCTTATGTTGGGCGTTGCATTAGATTGCACTGTCGTCATTCTAGGTTTGGTTATGTTTATGTTTTTGTCATATTGTCATTTCAAATTTTGGGTTTAGTGATTTTAGACCCAACTCGCGTTCCGTTGTGTTTGGCGGTGTCATAGCAACCAAAGGGAAAGCTATAGCTGGGGGAGGGAGCGTGTGGTTTCCATGGATACCGTTGATAGCAAACTGTAAAAGTTTTGAAGTAGAAAAGAAACTTGAAATTCACGGTAAGTTTGCTCTTAAGTATATGTGTCGACATATCAAATCATGGTAGAAACATGAAACCATAACCTTAATAACGTTACCAACGTTTCTAACGGAAGTATAAGGTTAGCGTTAACTTAATTATCGTCAACGTTAGCGTTAGCATAACGTTAGTTAACGGTAGTCAGATGTCTAAACGTCGAAACTGATGTGAAGAAAATTTGACAAATAACACAGCAAGTATGTTGACCCATATTAAAACTGTATTACTAGGAAAGGTTAAATAAAATACAGAAAATAACGTTACTCTAACGTTAAACGATTAACGTTAGTTAACGTAAGTTACTGAGCACCATAAACACAACATGCCATTATAAGGTAATTTGTAAAAATGTATATTAATGCTTTAAATGCAGGTTAATACGCCTATACTGGAGCTACATATCCAGCTTTCATCACACACGTGTGCTGGAATTGCTTGAGAAAACTAAGCTAACAAAGTTGAGTTTAGCATTTTGTTAGAATTAGCTTTCAGGTACTTGGTAGTTATTGGTACTACCTGAGCATTTAGGGCATCAACATCTAAACCTTTTCATGGCCCTCTGACCAATTTTGAAGATCTCAAACCGCTCATGACTTTAGCGATGTTTATGTTACATACGTTATCACATAATATTAGTATGACCTGCTGTTTATATTCTTGTAAGAATAAGTATTAAGAGTAAGCATTTAACGTTAATGTTTTAAGCATCAGTTCCACACATGTTAAACATAGCTGGTTTAATTTTGATTGGAAATATATTAGGATTAGCAATACTTTTAATTATCAATTAATCAGATGATTATTTTCTCAATTAATAATTTCAGCTATAAAATGTAAGAAAATAGTAAAAATAAATACCCATCACGATTCTCTCACACTTAATGACACATCTTCAGACTGCTTGTTCTGTTTGACCAACAGTCCAAAACCTAAAGATATTGACAATTAATTGACTGATTGTTTCATCTCTCAAGAACTTTACAAACAAATGTCTTAGAAAACTTACATGGCCGATTCTTAAATATCTCGACATGGGACTCCAAACCCAAAGTTGATAAAAATGTGAATTACTGTAAAGTCAAACATCATGGTGAACCCTTATGATCCAAACACTGTTTAAGAATGGTGTTGTTATTCATTTTTAGTTTCAGAATATCCCAGTGGGAGCTATGGGGTTATCACTGACCAGGGCAGCCCAGTGGACCACATCCAGCTCTGGTACTGGCAAACTGGAGGTCACGCCAATGAATGAGTCGTTGTTGAAAGAAATTCTGCACTTTGTGGAGCAGTTCACTTCCCAACATCCACAGGAGGCAGAGCATGTGTTTGAGGAGCCGCTCCAGTGGAGTACCACTTTAGTGGCGTCTAATTTCAAAACAGACTATGACATCAGGTTGGTCTAATCATGTGGCAGGCAGTTGGTCGGCCAGTGTTTTCAGTATTACGTGTCTATGCAGGATATGCTGTCACCGTGGTGTCCAAATGTATTTTACCTTGACTATACTCAAAGCAGTAGGCTATAATTAATTAGTTTTTCAGCTTCAGTTAGACTAAGTACATTCCATTTTATTTCATCAGAGGTTCTGGTCTACTTTCAGTGTGCAGTAAGCTTTGTATCTCGTATCTGGGAAACAGAAGTACGAAAACAAAAATACAGACTCAGATCTTATGTTGGCATTTATAATGTTATAGAAAAAACAAGTCATAATAGGGATAAAGTATTGAAGTCCTTTGGCTTTCTTTTCTTCTCAGTGACTCAGATGTACAGTCTCACGAGAAAGACAGTGGAGGGCATCCATTGTTGCAGCTCTCCCCTCCTACTGTTTATGTACGCAGCTTCAGCCAGCTCTCTAAACTAGTTCATCTGGCAGATGATAAGAAGCTGGAGGAGGTTCGAAAATGTCTAGAAGGTAAGCATGATGACCACAGGTTGAGGTTTGAATCTAACTTGTATTCCATGTATTCCTGCCACCAGCATGCCACAGACTTAATTTGTTTGTTCTCTTAGTTATTCTCTGCAACCATACAATTATGCTACCATTGGTAATTCCTTACAAAAATACATTTTCTTTAGAAATGTGTGTGGAAGAAATCCAGTACACACAAGGCTTGCTGTATTGTTAGTTAAAAATTCCGACTCGCATTTTCAGAAACAGTGTGATCAGCCTCTGAATCTGAAGATAACCTGTTTTTTGTTCAGAAAATAGAGAACCCATGGTTAAGATTCTTGGTCAGAGTTTTGTCAGCACCCTGGAGAAAGAAGATGACCTTACTGATGTACTACGTCTGGTAGACAAAGTGAAAGACCACATTAAGGACTCAGAGGTCAAGGTCAAGCTGTTCCTCTTGCTACAAAATATGGATAACCAACTCCTTAGCAAGTGCCTCAAAGAGGTAACCGGGTAGGTGCTTCTACTATTTCCAGCTCTCTCTGCATTCAATCTAATTGTCTATCCATCTGCCACAGCTATCCTCTTACACTCAGACCTAACCAGTTTTGCTGTGACATGTGGTTGTTTTTGATTGGAATAGGCAGTTCGTTTAGAAAAGCAACCATGAATGAATGATGTGAATTGGATGTTTGTTTTGTTTTATTTTTCTACATTTTCATTACAGACAAGTCAGTCTCGACTGCACCGCAGTGACGAATGAAGTGGAGTTGTTGAAACGGTTCTGCAGTGAAGGGGAAAAGAGGGTGTTGAAGTCGGTTCGATACACATCAGGTTTGAATTGTCTCCACATTTCACTCAATTTCAAGGAAAGCAATTGCTATTAACACTAATGCTGGATATTCCAAAGTATAAAAAGCTTGTGTTCTGCTGTCACAAAACGCATGGAAGTCATACCTGTCAGATTTTAGTTTACAAAGTAATTTGTCAGTGCATGTTTTTTATTCTTCATTGCATTAGCAAGGAGCAGCATGTGCCCACCAAGTGGTCAAAGCAGTCTGTGTCCCCTTTACTCAGGTTGAATGGACACCTAGGCTTTGGCAGTATTTATTTTTTCAGACCTTCATACCTTGCTGACATAGGTTATATATTTAAGTATTTATGTATTAAGAATTGTAGCATGTATGACATTGTCTAACCCACAGTGCTGTGTGTCTAAGATGTAGTTAGCCTACTTAGACAAGTCTTGCTGCGTTTAAATACCATACCAATAAGGCCCATAGAATAATGTAGAGAGAGAGGAAGTAAGCACCTTCTTCCAAATATTTCTTCTTTCTTCTATCTTGCTGGAGGACCCCATGAGACTTGTTGCCGTGGATACCAACACATCAGTGGGTGAATGGTAATGATGTGCACAAAGCTTTGTCCATGTTGACTGGCTCACCTTTATCATCTGGACTAAATCCAAAATACTCCAAAATAGGGGAAGAGGCATTTTTCTTGTTTACTAGTCCTGTTATGTTATCTCAACCACTCTCAGTCGCAGACGAGTCACTCCCTTTTGTGTGTGTGTAGTTAGTGTGTGGTTGAGCAAAAGTAAGTAAGCAGCAGGTAAATGCAGTCAGGCAGTTTTGTAGTGTATGTCCAGCGTACACTACAATACTTCAGCTCAATACAGCAACTCTGTACCAGTTTAATAGAAAGAGGAGTGTCTGTATTTCTGACGTTATTGAATGGCATACCATCAGGATTTGTAAATAACTTGGTATGATACTGTGATAACTCCTAACCCTTTTGATTGTATGAAAATAATCTCCCAACCAGCCTCTAAATATGATACTGTCCTTATGTGGCTCTGCTTTTAGTGAATGATTTATATTGCAAGTGAAACTATGGCTCTACACTGGTCTCATGTCTCAGACCCGTGCTGGTTGGAGTACTACTGTATGTCATCCTCTATAGCAGCCCAGACATTTGTGATGATTTCTCTTTTTGCTCAACTATTTTTCACTGTTTCCTTCTTCCTTTGGAGACAAACTTTTTGTGAGTTGATATCAGGCTGCATTACATAGTATAAAGTTTGCAGCAAGAGTTTTGCAATTGCAAACCTTTTCTTCTGCTTTTCTTTTTAGATTATGAATTTTCAAATGGCTGTCGCGCCCCTCCGTGGAGACAGGTGCATGGTGAGATTTGTTACCTTGTTATTGAGCCTTGTGACACTGAGACCGTCTACATCACCTGCAGCAACGCCGGAGTTTTTCTCAATGGGGTAAGAGTTGGAAGATGAAACACTGTGGACTACATCAGCTGCAACATCCAATGTAATATTGTTTTCTTTTCCTGTGTGAGAAAATGTTCAGGGAGGTTACTTTCTGGCAAATAATTTCTAATATACCAATTCATCATTATACAGTCAGTTAAGTGGCAGCAAATTTACCTCTGTATGTTTGGTATGTAGTTCTCCAGTGATTTAAAAAAGGTTTATTCTGCGTTCCTTTAATACTGTTCTTCAATCATAAATCTCGAATGTATGAGGTAGACCTTACTGTGCATATTCTCCTCCTCAGCAACTATCACAATGCCAATCTAACCAACATCACAGAACACAGTTGTCAGTTCAGTAAGATTATCTCAATTATCCATCAACAAAATTCACGTCACGTTATTAGTCATTGATTCAGCTAGATAAATTACTGAAGGAGCCACACAGCAACAATGTTAGGCAACCAGTATTATATTCAGTACTTACCAAACATTACAATGTTCCTACAGTATATTAATCTTGTGTTCATATCTCTAATTATGAGAAATTTCAGAACACAAGTTAAAGGTACAATCTGATCTAAATGTAAACAAGCTCCAGACCTCCAAAATTGAAAACACAGGATTTGAAGCAGCTGTCATTCTCTATTTGATTGATTTCCATTAAAATGTCTTTTTTAAGAGAGACCTGGCTAGGGATGGGGATCATTCATTTTTATTGATATTGATACCCTTATTGAGACTGCTTAACGATCCAATTCTTTATCGATACCACTATCGATACTTTACTATTATTTAGTGATGGTTATTTGGTAAGACCAGACCCAACATGCAGGCATGAGGTAGGCCTGCACGGGAAATATTCAATGTGCTATAACCTTATATATTGAGATGACATATCACTTGCGATAAATAAACATATATTGAAGTGTACATATTAACTGCCTGGTTGTTTTTAATTTTATATTTTAAATATAGCTAAGTGTTGTTTCTAGAGCAGCAACATTAATGTTTACAGCAGCAAAGTAACTAAATAACTTTATCTGACATCACAAGTAGTGAGTGACGTTTAGAAAGAATAACATCAGTCTGTATCAGTCCCTCCTCCTCCGAGTTTTTAAGACTACAGACCAGTCTGTGCTCCAGACAGACAGCTTTCTATTAGCTTGTTTTTAACATTTGGCTAATGCCAAGCTAGCGTTAGCTGTGCTTGTATAAGACATAACGTTACAGGATGAGATACTGAGGACAGAGATGATTAAATTAACCATTTCTAACGTTACATGTTTAACGTTACCTTTACAGACAGGTGTATTGATAAAGTATTGTCGTTTTACTTGCGAAGGTAAGGCAGGCACTTACAGTAACGAGCGTAGCTGTCATCAACTGACGTTACAGTAGTTTGGAGCTAAGGGTTAAGTTAGTAAGTAACCGTATTCCACCGCGATGGCGCAGCCTCTCGCTCTGCTGCCGCTGTGTGTGTGTGTGTGTAGGAGCCGACAGAGAGCAGGCAGAGACTGCATCCTGATGATTTTCTTATCCATTCCAAATTTTGGAATTTACAAATTTTGGTCCTTTTGGAACCGAGTCTCGATCCCCATCCCTAGACCTGGCCATCTAAGACAACTGTCACATGCTACAAGAGTATAGACAGTATGCTATTAAGATGCTTAAAGTTAAGAAATGAGTTTCCAAAACTATCAAAATAAAGTTAAAAACAATAAATTTTCTAACAGGCATTGACCAAGAGTGCTGTTTTTCAGATATTTTTAAACTGACTAGACTTCACGAAGAGTAATCACTCTGACACTTCAGTCCCTCTGGACATTGTTCCAGCTGGAAGTGGCAGGTATTTAAACAAAGTACAGTGGTCTACAAAATATGCACTCCCAGTAATAAACGTACAGCACAGTGGTAAAGTTACTAATGCTGTTAAAAGTATCTTAATTAATCGTAATTAAAATAGTAATTGATGTCATTTATTATGTGTTTTTAGTATATAGAGTGTATTTCAATTTTTTTATTGTGTTACTTTAATTGCCTTTCTTTGCTTGTGTTCTTAAAAGCTTACTCAGTGAGATACGTACAATAATTCCAATGTACCTGTACTGTAGTGTGCTTGTACAAATGGCAAATAAAATCAAAAATTCAAAAATCAAAACTAATCAATCTATAACTAAAAATTTTCTGTTATGTCCACAAGATTTGTATGGTCAAAAAACCTCACATATCAGTATCCCTAAGGATACGGTTGTATAGAGAGCTGGATAGAGAGTTTCCATATTCTAGTCAAATGTCAGGAATCCCTCTGAATGTGTTTGCAATAATTTCTAAGGGTTTCTGAGGGTTTTGCATGCTGCCGCACCTTTCACTCTTCCCCTGACTTTGCTGATGAGCCATAGGTTTCGTGCCTTTGTTTCTTCACCTGGAAATGGTTCGTCCAAGGTGAAAAAACTGCAACCTTAAACCGAATGGGTGACACTGATGCAAATGAAACCTCAAAGAGCAGTAGTGTCTTAAACCTAATTTAGCGGTTTACATGGTTTTACACTTCCTCTTTGAGGCTGCCTGGAGATACTCTGAGCTTTCTAACCTCAGCTATTCCAGCAGACATGTGGGTCACATTATAATTGTGGTTTTTAGAATTAATGAAGCTGTTTTTTCACTTTGTTTTCACAGTGCATAAAACAAGAGGGGGAGGAGAGTGGCTATGAGCGTACAAGTGATATGTACAAAGACCTGGTAACACTTCTGAAGAGCAGATCTCCACATTTTGCTGAGAACATAAACGAGCAGGTACAGTTAATTATCATCAACCCATTAAGACCTCATTTTTGTAGCATTGAATTTTTGCTCTCAAAGCAAATATGTGTGGGTGTTAAAATGCATCTGTCCCATGAACAAGGTCCTTCTCTCTAAACCCTGATTTTTATCCCTGATGCTTAGTGACTCATATTCGTAAACAGAGTTAGGATTGTGTAATCAGTGTCTGCGCTGTTCCATGCTAGTGAGCTAGTGTCTGGTTGTCACTGTGATGAAAAATGTCTGAATCGACCTCCTCTGTGTTCCAACATCAAAACAGCACGGACCCATTCCACCTACCATCCACCCCCACAACATACACACTCTTAGACAGGCAAACACACACACACACACACACACACACACGCACACACACACACACACACACACACACACACACATTTCTATAAATTGAAATACGCGTGATTTATTCTGTAGTGCTATTTCCTGCTTTAGTAATTTGATGACATGACAAATTGCCTCAATAATAGATTCCATCTGCACCCAAAAATCTGTTAATCATTTAAAATATTATCTTTATTTTTTTCACTCACAATGTGGCATCATCACAGGCTCATCACAAAATATTGTCTAGTTTTGTGTTTGTTATGATGTAATTCTCAGAAAAATAAAGTGTAAATATGATTCAGAACAATATCATCACTGCCTATTTACTATAAAGAGCACATTATCTACTCTCCACCATTGTATTTGATTGCCCGAAATGTATGCACCATAGTGCCCTCAAGAATTCCCATAATGGAAAGAAAAAAAAGTGTTTATAGTATGCACTACTACTTCTTGGTAACAATCCTGCAATGCAATTGTCCTCACATTTCAAATGCTAAAATTGTTGTTGTTTTGTGACTCTAAACTATTGAGTGTCTAGTATATCAGAAGTAGTAAATGCATGAATGAGGGAGTGATTTTGGACACAGCCTTAGGCTTGTCAAAATGAAATTATACTAAGACTGCACTGTTTACCATACACAGTAGAATAGCACTTGATTTCTATCTGTGCAGATGCGATTGGTCCATGTGACTTCTAGAGTAGGTGATATAGTAAACTGGAAGTGAAGACTTTAGTAAACCATTGAGTAGTGCCAGGCTGAACCTTAAATTCAGGCTTTTATGTTTTATGAGTCCTGTGTGAAGAGTGATGCCTTGAGTCTGAACGATCTAAAAATGATGGACAGCTGCAGTAAAAATGGCTGTGAACGAGTTTGTGGAGGCACAAATCACTGTCAAGGTCTTTTTCTTCTGGATTCTTTAACTCCTTTGATATGTGCCTCTCAGTGTCCTGTAACTTTAGTTTCACTATGACTGCTGAATATTTTCTCTCTGCCTCTACTTGAGGTAATCACCTTCATATGATGTGGTCAACTTAAAAACACATTGCTTTGAAATTCATTCGATTGATTGCTGATGACAGCAGTCAAATTGTGCAATATGCATCCTATGTCTGAGATATTAAGTAATTGCAGTCATTCTTGTGGACATGATCCATTTCCGTTTTAATTTGAGTGAGCAAAGCAGCAGTGTCTGTCAGAAACACAATCTTGCATAGCCCTGACTCAGTTCCCTGATTGCAACGTGGAGAGCCCAAACGTGGAAGTCGATAGCCAAAGATAACAACACCTAATCTCCAAACATATCTGCTTGCTTCCAATGTGAGGAAGCAGGTCTTTTTTTAACAGTTCTATTAGATCAGACAGCCTCAATCAAATGAGCAGAGGCAGCCAAAGGAGACGAGGGCTGCAACACAGGGAGGAAGCAGACTCGCCATCTCTATTCAGTGTTGTGGATTCGTTTTGACATCACAGTGTGATTGGAAATTGGACATGCTGTGTATTTGCATGCACAAGACGCTCACTGAAAAGCAAAAACTCCTTGGGTTGTAGATTTGTTTTCGTTATTCACATCCTGAAATGAATATAGACTGCCTCACTGTCATAATCAGTCAGTAGAGACTGCCTGAATCTTGCCACTAACAGATGTTTTTATGGCCAATGGCTTCAGATTTGCTGCCCTGCCGGTTTTCCATCAGTATGGATCAAGTAATTACACACAAGTTTCCCCCAAACACATGCAAATAGTTGGAGTTTATGTTTTAGTAGTAAAATGCTTGGAAAAAAGGACACATAGAGAAATATGAAAAGTGCTAATGATTGAATGTCACCTGCTATAAAAAATATATTTTGAGTTTAGAACCGCAGGCTCGGTCCTGCTTAACACAGCATTTGTCTCCAGGCCTGTAGTGTTTTCAGATGCAGGAAGGCACCTGTAATAGGACTTTTTACTGTCGCATAACAAGGAATTTGGAGTGTTTCCTTCTGTGTGTATGCACATGGACTTTGTCCATTTCACATATAACAGAAGTAAAGTAGGTTGGTTAGCCTAATAAAGTCAGACTGTGGCTCTGTGGTTGGGTGAATTGACTTGTATGTTTCCAATAGCAGGTCACTTTGTGTTTTATGGAAAACAAGTCTTAAAAGTGATTTTGCATGCTTGGCTCCAGCCTGTGAGTGAACACAAGAAATACATCTTAATTCTTTTTCCCTGCCCTTGAAAATGTTGAGGCCCTAACAAACAATGACAGTCTGAGGTATTTCTGCAGAGCAGGTGTCTGTGATTAAAAACTCTCCAGCTTGCACATCATTCATATGTGTCTTATTGGCATTCATATATAGGTTGTAAAGTTTGGTATAAAGACCTTCAAAACTTAAAAAGAAAAAAAATCATAACTGAATAACTGTGACACAAAGGCGTTATTTTGTCTGTGCCAAGCTGCAAGGTTTTAGGTGATGGAATGTACAGAAACAATAAACTTTGTGATATTGTTCAGCCAATTAACAGAGGGGGACCTCTTCTGTGTAAAGCATTGGGAAAGAGTTATTTTATTCCAATGCCTCAAGAAAGACACATTGTCAGACGTTAATAAGTTAGGTGGCTCAAAAAATGAAGAGAGAGGCAACATGTCATCTGGATTGAAAATATCACAAGAAGCACAAGTGAACATTAGAATTAAATTTACAACCAGAGCACATACAGTTTTACAAATTGTACTTCTCACCACTAGAATTGATTGGTGATAATTGAAAGAGGTCTTTTTCCTCACTCCAGCCGTTATCTTTTCCTCCAACAGAATTTTGCAGTTCAAAAACTTCCATCAACACAAAGAATCCAGCATGTGGAATTGGTTGATGTGGAGGAACTAGGCCAACCCCAGAGGTCTCACGAGCAACAGGAAAAGAATGTGCATGAGGAGGCGAGACAACAGCATACGCCGAACAAGGCAGGCGGCAAGAAGAAATATGAGCCATGTCCAAGATGGAAGAACCTTGGTCTCATGTCTCCATGTGGGTATGTGATAATTCCTCTCTCAAGATGTCCTAAAAATATCTTCAGGCAACCATGTAATGTGCGTGACGGGGATCCCTCTTGTTGAGGAGATGAGCTTTAGATGACAGTGATGCCAAGCTCCCATCACGTGTGCTCAGTGTGTCTTCCAGCAGTCACACATTATAAAGAGATTGTTATATGGTTTATAAATTTTAGGGCAAGTGCAAATATTCCTGATTACACAAAGATCTGAGTTAATCTATACTTTCACATTGTGGAAACCCTTTTACAGACAGAACTCTTGGGAAAAAGTCCCAAAAAGATCTATCACATATGGTCTTTGATTGATAAATAGATCTAGCAAGCGCTGAGCTGTTGCAGCTGTACCTTGTGATAACTATACCCATTTGAGGAGAAACTGGCTCAGGATAAAAGCATCTCAACTGCAAAAAAAAGACATGCCAGCTGAACCCTTGTCTCGAATTGTTAAATAATGATTATGTTAGAAAAATAACCATTTTCAAAATAGAAGCAGGCATAATGACTCTTATTTCACATCATTATAGTAAAGCAGAGGAAAAGAAACCCAGTAAGAGCTCTGGAGAGGAGAAGTCTGGTGAAATAAAGAAGAAAAAGCTGGGACCAAGAGCCAAGAGCAAGATGAAAGCAGAATTATCTATGTCCTCTTTACCTGGACGCCTGTCCTCCCAGAAAGTGTAAGTACAAAGTCTCCTGAATTAGGACAGCTTCTTTCACTGCAGATCAAGTAACCTATACGAGATTTAGGAACTGATAAGAAGAACTGAATACTGTTTTACCAGTTGTGAAATTTGTAGTGGAAACTGTAACCTTTAAATATACAGTATCAGCCATGTACTGAACAAGAACCTATGTAAAAGCTTTTTCCTTCTCTGGCTCTTGGCAGCTAAACTGCCTCAGTTGTCTCCATACTGCTGCCAATGAATACAGGCTGCTAGCATCATACATTTATGCTAGCCACTGTTCACTGATTGTATTCTTTTTTTCTGCTCATCAGTTAGTGTACATGCAATAAGACCCCAAGTTGCATTCACTCACTGACAGTCATGACTGCACACCACCCAGGACAGTGTGTAGGCCTGGCAGCCTCGTGAAGGTCTTGTTTGCTGTTTATCATGTTGCCTCCTGGAAAACATTCCCTCAAATCGGCTGGCTCCTTCTGATAATGCGCTCCCCTGGCAATGTTATTTATATGTACATGGGAACTGTCTCTCAGCGGCCCCATTTGAATGTGTACCAAATTTCATTGCTCCACAGTGCCCAATTTTCATGATACAGTTATCCAAGTGGCCCGAGCAACTTTAAAAAGCCATCTGCGTTTCTGTTTGCATCAAAAGCCTAGCAAGATTCTTTGCTCTGTATATGATGAAGACTCCAGTCCTCCCATGACATTATTTCGATCTTTATTTTCCTGCTGCTTAGATCCTCAGGAAGTTAAAACTTGACACTTAAATTTCAAAATCCTTAATGGGTCTCCTTGTGTGGGATGAGCAGACTGTTTTTCCATTTAAAACACAAGAACGGATTTCATGATATTATATTCCATCTATTTTGTCTGGCTATGTATTGTCTCGTTACATTATCCCATCAATTTGTAGATTGTTATCTGAGGTCATAAGTGCACCGTTATCTGCTGTTTCTGTTCAGTAAGACCCCAGCAGGAGCCATGCCAGTGGACACTTTCAGTGAGAGTTCATCTGAGAGTGAGGAGGAGGAGGAGCAGCCAGAGCGCCGTCCAGAGAGTAACACAGACCTGCCTTCTGAATATTGGCAGATCCAGAAACTGGTCAAGTACCTCAAGGTAAGGGAACATTACCCTGCACACCACTGTTTCCTTCCTCTGATGGATTTCAACCAAAAATAGTGATGTGTACGGAGAGTTATACTACTGAAGGTGAAGGCAGGCCACAACAGACAGGAAACAATAAAGTCCATGCTCTTTTCCTGTCATCCACACAAGAAATTTGATGTCCTGAGTCAGTATGAAAATTTCAAAATTCTCTCAGAATTGCCTTGGATGGAAAAGAATATTTAGTCACGGAGGAGCAGGGGAATTTAGAATAGCTGGTATCACGAAAGGTAATTTTCCAATCACATAATCCCACGTGTCTGTTTTGCCTCAGTCAGATCAAGGTGCCACTCAGTAAAAAAAAAAGGATGTCAGATGAAATAAAGAATAGATTGGTCCCATTTAAAGCGGCGCTTTATTGGAAGATGCTCATTGAAGTGGTTGGCTTGGCTTGTGGATTCCTGGTTTCTGACACAGGCCTGTTTGGTTGCACATGTGAGCCAAGACACAGGGGAAAGAGCTGTCTGACGGCAGCAGCTGTATGCTCTGTTTGCCCACACCGCAGAAGCATAAAAATGAAGCGTGCCTATGATAGGTCTGACAGGGCATATGGTGATTATTAATGTGTCAAAACATGGAAGAAAAAGAAAAGAGGATAGAAACGCCAATGACCCAGACTGGCTGGGAAAACCTCCAACCACTTGACTTCAGAGATTACCCTACCTCACTCAGTGGACCCTATTATCTATCTGTCTGGACAGTATCATTCAGACAAATTATATTAAAATAGCCTTTTACTTTTTTTTTTATTTTTATTTTTTTACAGGAATCTGTTTTGTTGCATGTTGCAAACCAGTTCTCCTTGTAACAGTAAAAATATTGTAAATGCTGCTTCAACTTTAGGAAAATTAATTGAATTAATGTTATTTCAATGTGTAATAATAGTGTACATGACATTTTAACACAGTATGGTATTTCTTGATACTATCAACAGATTTGTGTTCTGTGGCTTGGTGCTAAATAAGATCGTTCACAGTGCAACCGAGTAAATCTTTTATAGAGAACGCTGCTGTAAAGTTCAACTGTAGGTAGATATTTATAGCTTAGCAAAATAGATTATAATAGAAGGAAATTCCCTCTCTAAAAGCAGGCTGCTACTCTGTCCCAGAAAGGAAAAAGAAGATGTAAATGATACGAAAGTTCAAGTGAAAAGAACTCACTGGTCTGTTTATTCTGTACTATTTAGCGGGATTGTGGCATGATCTTTAGGGTTGTGTGTGTGTTCCTCCTTCAACAAGATGCAGCACTGCAGTAACCAACATGTCCCAGCTTTCTATCTGTCTGGAAACCACACAGCACAGTTATTTATGGGGTTTGTTCAGTGGTCATTTTATAATATCATTACCATCGGACGCTCAGACGCTGAAACTTACTATGAGCCAAGTTAAATATCTGTTTTATTTTAGGAGGATACCCCCCCCCCCCCCTTTCCTTTGCACTATAGACAGTCGTTTGTACTCTAGGAAGTTTAATACTTTTATAAAGCGACACATGGATGTTCTGTTTTGTGTTTTAATTATATTTATGTAGGAATATTTACCTGGGGTTCCTGAATGTTTGTTTTTGTACTTGTATGACTGGAGATCTGTGCCTGTAAAACGCTTACATAGTCTCTCACAAAATCCAGAATGCAGGTTTAAGTGTGTGTCTAGCAAGCATGGGTTTATACAGTACTGTATGTGTGTTTAGGTCTGTAGCACACTGACATGGAAAACGAGTTTTAAAATAATTCACGTTCCTTATCCCAGAATATCATGCATATTATTTATATTTTTATTTAAGCATATATGTTTATAGGCTGTATCATATATAGTTATATGTGCAGCATATAGACATTTAATAACTTATGGAAGCCAGACTGTGAAACAAGACAAGCTAAATAACAACTTGACCAAAAAGACTGAAGTGTTGTTTTTCTACTCAGGACGTAATAACTTCACATGGTAAGTTTAGCAACCAAGCCATAAAATATTTTGTCTCTGTTTAAATAAAGAAAAAATTCACCAGCTGCTATCAGTTACGTTGGCCTGTGGCTTTCTAAACATAAAACAATTTTCATATTTTCACAGATATAAATATTCTGATATACAATATGTTACTAGTTAACATATAAACATTTCAATATTGTGTGTTTTAACATTTTCATAATTTACTTTTTATAATATTGATCATTTATTTATTTACTTCTCAGATGGTGGATGGTAGATCTTTTCTGAACTGTCACAATGAAAGGATAAGTCACCACACAGATTTTAGATTTAGTGCCACTATTAGTGCAGTCTTTTTCAATAGCTTTAAAATAGTTTTTCTAGTACGGTAACTTTAGTTTAAGTGGCAAAGTACTTGACACATATGGTATTGTTTTCAGCCCTCATTAAGGTTGCTCCCCCTCTGCTGGGCAGTCACAGTACTACTGCCCTATGCTTCTCTCATGAGAACCATTCTACTAATTGCTACACTAAAACTAATCCTGTCTGCAGTGTACATGAGCCAATATCAGTCAATGCTTTTTCAAGAGGTGAATTTGTAGCTAATTATGTACTAGTTAAGCGTTTATGATGCTTTTTTAATAATTACAGCACTCAATTAAAACATTACATTTACTGCCTGTAATACATTTACAATGTGTCTAATCTGCAGAGTTTATTTACAAGAATAATTGCATCATTTCATTCTCTTGATTTAAGGTACTTAACAATTCAAAGACCTGACTAGACATTTACTCAGCATGCACTGTACTCATTTTATGACAGAAAGGCATATTAAGTTATCAAATTTTATGTTATAGGAGATCCTATGTCAAATATGAAGCAAGAATCAACCAGTAATCATTCATTCTGTCCCTACAGTACCTTTCCCATAACAGAGCAGGATTTTGGGTTTGTTCTTGTCATTAGCAGTCTTTCCTTAGTCTGATGTATACTGCAGAGTATGAAACCTCATGGATCCTCTATGGTTCGACCTATGCCAAGACGCACTACTTCTCTCTTACACTAATGCTCTACCCTGAGCATTACTCAATATGCGTAGTCAACCACAAAATAAACACAACAAAACTGTATTAAAAAATGGCCTGATGTCAACAGGATATCATTGACAGCCCTATTAACCCCATCCCTGCTTCCACTTGCTTAGTGCTATGATTTATAGGCCTGGAGTAGCTCAGGCAGGACAGTCTGTGTCTGCAGAATCCAGTCTGCTGCTCCAGAGGAACCAGACTAATATAAGACCTCCATTCAGTAGTGTAAAGGCATCAGCTATATAGTAGCTCAGGCAGTGACACCTGCAGTAAAGGAAGAAACAAAATGTGTAAAGCATCTTTAAGTAGGTGATATCGAGTTCACCTAATGAATTTGATTCCTCATACTACTTAATCTTCTAAATCCATGTTTGATTATGTAATTCCATCAGACAAAAGGATAAGGTATTGATACTGTCTGTAATCATAACTATGCGCTCTGACAGCTATATCAATGATCCTTGCTCTTGTGTTGTTGTGGTCAAGTTACATATTTGGTACCCTGTAGACCCAGGTAGGGTGACAACTCTCCTCCTTTGCTGCAAGAATTTTTACAAATTTTCTGTCACTTCTTTTGACCTTTGTGTTTTGCATTATGATTTGTATCTGTGAAGGTTCTCAGTCATCCAGGTCATTATCCAAGCAAGGTTAAAATCAAGGGAACTGGACTTTGATGATACTGGAATACGTTTCATCTCTCGTCTGATAGACTTCCACAGTTCTGACTGACTGGTGGGGAAACTCGGCCATTTAACCTTTGTGACGATACCCACAGCGGTTGCCCTTGATTTTAACCTTCCTTGGAGCATTATGATTTAGATGTATTTTTTTATCCACACTCTATAAATGTCACTGTGTCTGACTATGGACTATTGGCTAGATTGCCTTGACATTTATGGTCCCCTGAGTAGGAATCCGGCTGAAAAGTGTTTTTACTTTGCTAGCGAAATAGTTTGAATTTGCTAAATGCCAGCATGCTGTTAGCATGTTTGCATATTCTGATGATAGCTTTTAGCACAAAGCACGGAGCACAGAGCTGCTAGCCTGACTTTAGACTCTTAGTCTTGTTTTCCATTGGTTGAAGTTTACCAAGACATTCATCACTGGTGGGTTTTTAAAGGACTAAATGGAGCACATCACAGGTAATACACCCTAATACCTCCTGTATTAAAAGAAAATTAACTCAATGTTGGTATTACATATTTAGGGCATGGACCGCATTTTTCTTCTTTTTTTCCTTCTTTGTTGTCCACCAAATGAATCACATTTTGAGGGGCTAAATAGACTCGAAAACTTTGCACACATGTCAGAAGTGGCAATAATGTCAGTCTCATCTAGGCATGGTAAAATGGCTCCATAGCACCCCTTACAAAATTTCAATGATGGACCCCTGCACGTTATTTTGAATCGAAAGTACAATTGTAGGGCATTTTTTTGTCATTTACAGGCTCCACACTGTTGAACTCTTTCTTGTTAATCGGATGGACTTCAAATGTTTGCAGTGCAATCTATAGACACTGCAGATGAAAAGTTGTGCTAACAGAGTTTTTGTTGAAGGGCATGTCTGTAACGTGGCATCAAAAATCTATGGTTTGCAATGAAACAAGAAGTAACTTGACTGTACATGGTCAAATCTTTACCAAACTTATGACACCCTGAAGACATTTACATACCAATATTCAATCATTGTCATAGCGCCACCTACTGGCAACAGGAAACAACAAGTTCAGTGCTGTGATGTACTACTCCTAGCAGGTTGACCACATCCACATCACATTTGGTCAGAAAAGCCATAGGATATTGATGATTCTTTGTGAAGCTTGTGATTTACATGAAATTTTTAAGTTGTGTTCCACACTTGATGTACTGGGACATAACTTATAATTGGCCGGTGTTCTTTAGTGGCATATAGGCATCAGCTGACCTCCGTCAACTGCACGTCAGCCGTGGAATGCCCTAACGTGCGTGACAGTGCAAGGACCTGGTAAACGCTCCTTGCAACTTTAATGATTATTGAAATGCCATGCCAGTTGGTCATGGCATACAGTATCTACGCAAAGTTATACGTAAATACATCTCCACCAACACATATTAAACTACTAATGAATTTCTTGTTCAGAGGTCAAATACTGGTTGAATTGGTTCCACTTTGAACATCTGCCCCATCATGCTCAGAGAGTCAAAGAACTTTCACCATAAAAGATTGTCAGATGTTGTCAATGTTTTAAAGAATGTCGACAACACTTCAAGACCAAAGCTAACAAAAATGAAAGCACATGATCTGTTTTCTGTTCTCCCAGCTATCACTCCTAAACATAGCTTTTTGTTGATTTTATAAGGTACGAACCTCGCCTGCCGATTCCTTTGAAGAGTGAGAATGGACGAGACAAAGGAAGCAGTAGATCCACTGCTGTTAATGGGCAAATGGTTCACATTTAGGGTAGCATCATGATATGGAGAACATATGTGCCGTTATCCTGCTGTGTCAGAGCAATGCTTTGTGAGGGAGTTATGATCAAACACCACTTGAGACTGTGGCATTGGCCTACACTGATGAGTCGACCCCTCCAACAGCTGCATGAAACAGATTACTGCCCCAGCCTTCTATATAGTGATAGGCTAATTTCTACTTATAGGGGTAGCTGATAGCAGGACATGTTACATTCTTATGTTTGGTTGAAATAATGTATTTAGTATGGTCCTGAAGTCTCAAATAGTTTGGGAAGTGTGCAACTAATAAAGGCTTACGAAGCCTAGAACGGTAGAAACCACAAGATGAGAATCTGTGGCACATTTAAACCACTGCAAAAAAGAAATAATATTTGATTGTTCAGTTGCCAGGAGATTTTGGACTGGACATTCCAGTGTCACATATCAAAGCCATGTAGCTTGTCTAGTATTACATCAGCTAACTTTGCATTTTCGTGCCACAAGCTTCTGTTTTATGTGACTGCTGATTTTTTCCCCTTTTCATTATATAAACCATTGCATGCAAAGTTATTTAGTTTGTTATGCAATTGCACATGATACAGACTAAATATAATATTATATAAAACACCATTGTTGCCTTCCTGGATGGTATTTTAACCTTCCCAAAGCACCAACCCTAAGACTGGTATTTTAAGTGCCATAACGCTGTCAACATCCATCCACGGCTAGGATATTATGTGGATTTATGTAGTATGTGGAGAATCTGAAAAATACAATGGGTATATGGACACTAAAGTTCAGGTTCATGTTCTGCCACTGCCACACGTGAAGATTTGACCACACACGGCTTCTTTATTTTTTAGTTAAGTGGCAATAAAACCTAATCAGTTTTGTGCCCCATGTGTGTCGAGTAGCTTGAATTTAATCAAAGAACAGATATCCACCACCTCAAAGCACTTAGTAATGCTAAGCTGCTAATTGCTGGGGTGCAGGTCTTAAATGTAAGTATATAGGAACTGTCAAAACATATTTTGCTTTTGAAATGCTAACTCATTAATTTCAGGGTTTCAGTACTAATAGTGCTCTTTTTCATCTTAGGGGCAATGTCTAAAGGTTTCTGGGATTGGTGCTGTTGTCAGATCTCAGTGTAAATAATTATAAATAATTTCTCTTCATCAGTGTTTACCACCACAAAGCAAAACACTTACCATGTTGTAGTATAGACAAAACAACCCCAGCGGGAGTGGTATTATGGGGGGAAATAGCAGAAAGGTGGAGGGTGGGAGAACGCAGGGTGGACTATCCTCCTCCCTTTTTCAAATGTCTGCTTAATGTTTTCTCCTGCTAATTTTCTTCCTTTTTGTCTCCCTTTTTCATTCATTCATGTTTGGCATTATTATTTCAGGGAGGCGACCAGACGGCCACTGTGCTCACTTTGTGCGCCATGATGGACTTTAATTTGATGCAGGAGACGTGCCAACTGGCCATCCGGGATGTAGGTGGCCTTGAAGTCCTCATTAACTTGCTGGATACAGATGAAGTCAAATGCAAAGTGAGTAGCTGTGCCAAAGCTGGACCTGGATGGCCTGCAGGCATAAACAGAGCCTGCCATGTGTGCCAGCCTGTGTTTTAGTTACAGAAACACTAGTGCTGGGTAGAGAGCGTGCCTTTAAAGACACAGGGTAGCAATTATTCTCCGATGTTCCTAATGATGTGGGTTCTTTTTAATTCGATTTTACTACAGCTAGATATCGCTGTATGTATTTTTAGGACAGAGAGAAGCTTCATGTTGTTTCTATAAAACAAACCTATCATTTTAAAAATATCTCACTGAGTGTGAACATGTATTTCGTGCATGTTTTTAGATTGGATCTCTAAAGATCCTGAGAAAGATAAGTCACAATGTGCAAATCCGTCGAGCCATTGTTGACATGGGAGGCCTGCAGAGCATCGTAAAGATTCTGGACTCTCCAGTCAAGGACCTCAAGGCTTTAGCTGCTGAGACAATCGCCAACGTAGCCAGGTTCTGCAGAGCAAGGAGAAACGTCAGGCAATATGGCGGTATCAAAAAACTGGTGAGTATAAGCACAGTTTTCATGATTTTAAATCACTCATTCATGCCCTTTTCACACTGTATGCAAATACCAGATAGTGGCCCATCCATTCTTTTTCTCCCTGTCTTTGAAAACAGCAGCGTGGGTGCTGGGCTATAACAGATAGAATGTCCCCTACATCCTCTGACCTGCATTCATGTTTGTTGACAGAGCAACCTGTGATTAAAGCCTCCATGCCTTGTATATTTTCCTCAGCCCCAAATCGGATGTTCTCATGTGCAAGTCACTCACAGAGGCAGATTAATTTCACGCTATGCAACGAGACCACCTTTGAACTATGCTGTGTGTAATAGCTTTGCCTGCTCTGTCTCACTGGCCAGGAACTATGGATTAGAACACTGAATGATGGCCATAAACCGTCACACTGGGCTTTTCAGGCCTAACATCAACATCTATCCTGACAGTTTTCCACTCCTAGCATCTCTGGCTTTTTCATCCTCACAGACCCAGTGGTAATAGAATTTTAATTACACCCTTAATCACAGCCAACAACTTGCTATTCCCATCTGGAACCATCCATTATCACCCGAACTCTGCAAGCAAAATTTTTAGAGTCCTTGAATTTATGTCAAGTTCATCGAGTTTGTGTAAATGTGTGCATGGAAGTTTTCTGCTTAAACATGTGTGGTCTGTCTGCTTGTTTTCACATATTTTCATGTTTATCCACATGTAAACCGGGTTTCTTGTCTCTTTGTTCAGGTGAAACTGCTGGACTGTGTCCCTAATTTAGCCAACCTGACTGCAAACCAGGAGAAGGATGTAGAGGTGGCTCGCTGTGGGGCTCTGGCACTGTGGAGCTGCAGCAAGAGTACCAAGAACAAGGAGGCCATCCGTAAGGCCGGGGGTATCCCTCTGCTAGGGCGCCTGCTGAAGTCTCCACATGAGAACATGCTTATTCCTGTGGTGGGCACCCTGCAGGAGTGTGCCTCAGAGGTGAGGTGGGCTATATACACAAATTTGTATAAATCTGCAGCTGAAATTAGTTCCTACCAAATGAACTTTTTATTTCTGTTTTAAGAGATTATTCAGACATAAAAAATTAAATTGCATTTGTGAAGATGAACCTCTCTGTATACATTTGCATCTTCAAAAGAGTCAAAATTGTGTTTGGGCTGACTACCACAAACAAACAAAGTCTTAAGAGGTGGACTAGCATAGGATTTGTTGACAATAAGAAAATTCTTAATGAAACTGAAAAGTGAAAACTATTTGCAGCAGGACGTGCAGAATAACAACAATAGCACATAAAAAATAGAAGAGATGTAAAAATATGTGTTTAACATAAACAAACATATACAAACTTATGAAATATTTAAGGGTAAAAATCCAAACGTATGATACTTACCATCTGAAATGGATGAGAAAAATGTAATATAGTAGCAGTACATATGCAACACAGTTATAGATTAGTTCATGTTGTTCATGCGATCTGTTTATTGTTGTGTCACTACAGGAAAGTTACAGGATTGCCATTCAGACTGAGGGCATGATCAAGGATTTGGTTAAAAACCTAAGTAGTGACAATGATGAGCTACAAATGCATTGTGCCAGTGCAATCTTCAAGGTACACGTTTTCCAAAATAAATTAATATAAACAGTATTTCTTTGACTTCTTTGTCTCCTAATAAGACCCAGCCTTTAGAGGAATTAATGTAGATCTCGATACCCTCTTTTGCTTTGCAGTGTGCAGAGGACAAACAAACTCGTGACCTCGTGCGTAAATACAAAGGTCTGCAGCCGCTGGTTTCATTGTTGAGCAAGGCGGACAACAAGCAGCTCCTGGCCGCTGCCACTGGAGCCATCTGGAAGTGTTCCATCAGTATGGAGAATGTAGCTAAGTATGTTGGACTCAGGGTCTCACTTTATTACCTCCCATTAACATACATTAACACACACACAAATTTAATATAGCAGAGACACAGAAAATCATTGTAGCTGTATCTTATGGGATGTATTCCTATGTGTAATTAGTGGTAACAGATTAGTATAACTTTGATAAATCACTCATTGTACATAGAAACAACAATCTAATGAGTCTCAGTGTAGAAGGGGTTAATAGCAATTAGGCATTTTACTCACAAACTTACTACCCATCGCTTTGGAAAATATGTTTGCTGAGACATGCTGAGACTATGGTTAATAGACGTTTTACAGTATGTGCAGAACACCAGTAAGGGCTTCAACTGACTTGCGTGCATTAGGGTTGTCATGCCATCATCACATATGTTACTTTTATGGAGGGCTCTCATTCATTCATGACTAGCTGTGTCACTTTTTCCACTCACATGCTGTTGTCATATGTCCCTATGCTTTACCATTGTGTCTGGATGAAGTGATTATTTGCGTAAAAAATGTAATGTTTTTGCACGGATTCTATTAGCTCTGATCTTTTATGTGAGTGTTTGCAGCTAGAATTCAATCTTTTCCACCGTTAACAAAGGCTCAAGTCATTGTGCTGATTTTATAGACTATAGTGATGTGTTAGTCAAGGCCTTTTAGTATTGAACAAAATGTAGGCATACTGAAAGAATCAGCCTTGAGATGGTGATTTTCTAATGTCAAAAGACGTAGGCTGACAGAGCCTTTAATCATTTGTCATGTAAAGCAGAGGTTTATTTAAGTGTCATTAAGCTTGGATCCCAGTGACATTTCTGGATTGGTTTTTGACTTGTATTTTAGTGTCAGATGATTTTTAAGTCAGTAATTTTCCCTCTAAAATAAATAATGCCTGAAGACCGTGCCCTGGCAGCCCCATACAGTTCCACAAGTACTCCATTGAAAGAATGATTTAGCTGTATTTATTTTCTTTTTTACTGTGAGGTCAGGGACATAATATATAACCCACATGTTGTAATTTAATACCTTGGTAACATATTAATCAATTCAAAACCTATTCTCTCCAGTGTAGCCAAGAAACCGATAAGACATTGTCTTGTAATTATTTTTACGATTAAGAGGATATTTGAGGTTTTTTGCTGAGGTGAGATTATGTGAAAATGCTTTTCTTCTGACTCAGAAATGCTCTATAGTTCAAATTGCAGTGGAATTCTAAAAATAACGAGAAAAAAGAGCAGGAGCACTCACAGCGATCTTTCTTCACTTCATATATCATAACTGACAGAATGATATCCTACATTTAAAGTCTAAGTTAAGTCCTCCCAACTGGAACTGAGTGTCTGCTGCCACATCGAGTTAAGCAGGGATTCCTTTACAGGAGCAGAAGCATGACAATAACATTCTTTTAAAGCAAGATGGACAGACCACTGTCTACTTAACCCACGTCATGACAGAAAATCATTTGGGTAATTTAACTGAATTAAATGTATTCAAATGATTATTTTAATTAAATGATTAGATAGTAACATGACCATTTATCTATAGATAGACAGTTATGTTTTAATGGTACGAAATTATGCTTTTAAACTGTCTTCTTAACAAATTTGGCACAGACTACAGCTCCACTGGCCATGAGTAATGTGACTGCTTAATAAACTTGCTGCCAGTACAGGCTCTCTGCCATATGTAATGGCTTGTCACACTGTTGCTATGTAAAATACTAGTATTACTACTGATGATAACAATAATAGAAATAATTATAATGATGCCATTAATCACATGTAAACCACATTTAGTGACACTTCATTTACAAACACTAAAAAACACTTTGGTTGCCCTCACTCTAAATTTAACATGTCACAAACGTATCTTAGTGAGATTACCAAAGGGCCATAATATTAATAGAGTTCTTATTTTGTGGTTTCTTTCCTGTGTGTGTTATGTTTTATTTTGGACGATGGGGGCAGTTGGGTGTGAATGAATGTGAAATTTGGCCACCTCTTCGGGAGGAAACCAGCATGATGCACAGCAAATGTTTTTAATGCACACTTGAAAGTGTAAGTGGATCTGTTTTTTTTCATACTCTCAGGCTTTTTTGAATCACTTAGTGTCTAGGTCAGGCAAAAGCTTGGAATGAAGTGACCAAGCCATTACTGTCAAAAAGGAAAGGCTGCTAATGGTAACAGGGTTTTAGGGGCATGCGCTCATTTCAGAATCAATCACAGGCTGAGTGGTGTACTGAAATGAAAATCATTTTGGAATATATTGTGCTACAGTTATAATGAGAGGCAGAGAGTGGGTTTTATAGACATGGTCAACTGAAGCAGACCTTGTGGCCCATTGCAAACAACATGATATTTTTTTCTTTTATGTGACTGATGATTTGCATGGTCTGGACAGTATAGGTTAGGGGACCTCCACTCAAGACAAGTAGCAGCATGTGTTAGCCATTTTCCTGATTAATGATGCATCAAAATGAGAGATGATTGATGCCCTGAAATATAATTATATTCATAAGTGTGTTTGTTTAAAGATCACATAAGCTTATGTTTTTCATCGGACATCCAATATTACAGAGACGGCCATACTTTAGCCAAGCTTACATGTACTAGGAAAATGCCTTTGCAAAAGTCCTGCTTATAAACACAGAAACATTATTCTGTGGAGATTTATGGATGCATCGATATGTGGCCCCTTGAGCCTGTATACTGAGGTGTTATGGACACACAAAAATGCTATAAAAAGCCTTAACAAAAGGGTGAGGAAAGAACTTTGCAATGGAAAGTCATGACTGCCAAGTCTCAGACTGTATTTGCCAACGCAGTAATGTTTAGGGTCAAGATTGTGGGGTTCGCTTCCAATTACTGACTACCCCTCCATCTTACCTCTGTTCCAGCCCTATGATGAGCACACCATAATTTCCCCTCCACATGATACTTCTCCTTACCTCACAAAAGTTCTGTGCTCACCCAAGTTATTCACTGCTCTGATGTTTCCTTTCAAATGAAATAGATCACTCTTAACTTTCAGGTGGAACAAGTGGCTGTCTCTTTCTTCATAGTCATAGCTAAGCATCTCTTCATCCCTGAAATGTCTTATTTTCACCTGGTGCTTACCTAAAAACCTTAGTATTAAAAATACCAGTAAGACTTTCTGCACTTAGTTGAATGTGTAAAAGAAAGAAATGACAAAGGCAATAAATCATAAAAATCTGCGACACAGAAGCCCCATTATGATTCCTGTGTCATCTGACAGGCATTAATAAGATTCCATTTGTGTGTAGCCTTGTGTTTGCAGTAGAAAAGGCTTAAGGCAGCCTTGTCTAATGTTACTCTTGCCATCACGTAATAGGATTGGCTTAACAAAAATAGGCATGACTTAATGTTCATTTATCAAGTTATGTCTGTGATTACAAGATAATTCTATTGTATAATCCAAATGCAGATGACACTTCATTGATGGCATAGGAAAATCATTGTTTTTCTTTATGGTGAATTTCACTGAAGTTAACTTTGGCAGCTCCTATGTTCATTAGCAGTGTTTTCACTTGGAAGAATAGGCTGTGTGTTGGTGGACCCTGACCAAAACCAAATGACCTTGGCCATCTACAATAGCTTACGCACCATGATGCCAGCAACCGTAACTGTGAATAAAAACAGTCGTAGAACTTAACTGTACATCAGAGGTTTGTTGAGGTTTTTTGCAACCGCATTATATCCCTTTTAAATGTTTACTATAGTTTACCACTCTATAGCATTGGCAAACAAGGCAAAATCACAGCAAAAGAGGAAGGGAGAGTTTCCAAGCCACAGCAAAGCTTTGGTTATGCAAAGTACGTACAAGGGACAACTGAGAGCAGCCGTGGGAAAACTGCCTGGTTACAGTAAGACATCAGCAGTGTAGCTGCAACCTGTCACTTATGCAACTAATAACATTTTAGCCACACTAGTGGTGTGGTTCTAGTGATGACAGTGTTGCTGATCTGTCTGTCCGCCGGCCGGTTCACCACTTTGACTTTGTTCGGACTGATTTAACTCAACAACAAATGGATTTATTACCAACAAGGTTTTTTACAGACATTCATGGTCCTCAGAATTTAGTGATCCCGGATGTTTCATATGGCGCCCCCATGAGGTTGACATTTGTGGTTTGAGTGAAATATCTCCACAGCTATTAATTGGATTGCCATGAAATTTGGTACAGACATTCATGTCCCCCTCAGGATGAATTGTAATAGCTAAATAAATCTCTTTTTTATTTGTCCAGTACCTAGACTGTATATAAATATGGACGACTGTTCTCCACTTCCTTCCACTGTACAAAACATCAGTGTGATAAGAACTTTGGGGAAAATGGATTTTACATTTAAGAAGGGTTTATGACCTATATTGCTGTCAGGGGGTGATCACGATTGTTTTGGCTTTACTTTTGGGAACCTCTCATGTCGTCCATCTTTATATACAGTTTATGGTCCAATGTCAGTGTTTCCCATTAATTAATGAGACTAAGGCGGGCTGCCACAGTTGTTGCGTTAAAATAAACCAAAACAATTTTTACACTTACACTCATAATAACATTAAAGACCTCTAATGTTGTGTTTTGTGCCGCTTCTCCCTGCTGCTGTAAGCATACATTTTGGCATCCGACTCGAGACAACCACTATTCTTTTGAGGTAACTACGGTAATGTTAAGGGTTTGACCAGCTTTGAGTGTATCCACTGTCACTCGTTTGTGAGAACGAGATTAAGCTAGCCGCACCTAAATTTGGAGTGCACACATATTCAAGCCTTATGGTTAATGCAGTGAAACGGACCAGAGCGAGCTGGGGTTAGCGAGTTTATTCTGTCATTTTCTGACTTTACAAAGATAGGTGTTGCATTATGAGAGTCTGACCTGAATAGAGGTTATTTAGATATAATTATTATTTATTTATTTAAGTTGCATCAGACTTAGTGAATTTAGCACGAGGATACACGTGACAACGTCTGGTTTTCAAAATAAGGTGTTAACACAAAGTATATACAGTATGGAAATAAGATTAATTGTAGTTTATTCACTTAAAGTATAAAACGTGTCTATTAAAAGTTCAAAAGATACATTTTTGGGGAAATTACTTACTAACTGTTCTCTGATTTAGGGTTGCTGTAAAAACATTAAATAAATATGTTTACTTGAGAACAAAATTGTCAACAACAAAGTCCTTCATAGATCTAGCCTATTTATTTTGCTTTCAAAGTGCACCAGATTAATGCATTTGACTTTAAAATTTACTAAATTTTCTCACAGAGGGACATGCCCCCGGGCCACCTTACAGGGTCTGAGGCCCACCTACTTGTGGGAAACACTGAATGTTATGACCAAACAAGCAAATAAAAAGACATTTCCATTATCCCCAGCTGTACTTTGTGTTTAGTGCTGCTTAGCAAATGTTAGCATGCTAACACGTTTAGGTAAAATAAGTTATCATTTAGCTATGCTGGTTTCACACAACTCAAATTATAAATTATCCTCGCGTTTATTATGCGAGTTTGACCGCTGGACTACTCGTACGAGGGTTCACACACAACACGATACTGCGAATAAACACAACCCGCCACTACTACAGCTCCGTTTTCAGAGCAGAATCCAGTCCGACTGCAGGTGTTTACTTGTCCAAAAGCTCTGGCGCTGCACCGTCTCTCCCCTTCAGAGCTTTTTGAAGCTCAGCGGCTGTTTGTCGGTGAGCAGAGCCTCTGTCCCTTCACTGCGTCACAAGAATTTCACACTTAAGTTGAAAAATTTCAGCTCATGTGTTGTATGCGATTTTTCTGTTTAATCCCAAAAATTCTAATTAAAAAGTTAATTTAATTTTCAAAAAAATAAGTCTGAGCTCCTCCAACCGGTAAATGGCTCCGGATCAGAGCAGAATCCAGTGCAACTGTGGGTGTCCAGAGCTCCCCATCATTCTCAGTCACTGCACTGACTTTGTATGTAATCGCAACATGTGAAAAATTCACCCTCGCATTCACAGTAAGTACGGTCTTTATGAGCTGCTAACTTGAATGTAGACTAGCATTTTTGTCTGGCAGCACACTCAAGCACCAACATCAGTCGTCCAATTGACTAGATTAAGTCCGAACCTGTGCTGCAGATATTATTTGACTTTGTTTATTGCTAATTAGCACAGTGATTCCCAAAGTGGGTCCTTGAGAGGGTTCCAGGGGATCCCCACCAAAAAGGGGAAAAGTTTAATTTTCACTATAATTCCATCCATAAGTAACACAGTGACAGAATGTATTACTGTTTTGGTCATGGGTTTCATACATGTTCTGTAATAAAACATCTAAAACCCAAAATCTTATCAAATGGGGTCCGTGGTCTAATTTGTGTCAGTTTAGGGTTCCTTGACGTGAAAAAGTTTGAGAACCACTGAATTAGCAAATGCTAACACACTATTCTAAGCTGGTAAAAATGTTAACCGTTATACCTGCTTAACATCAGCATGTTAGCATTGTCAATGTGAGCATGCTGATCATAGCTGCTGATGTTAGCATTTAGCTCAAAGCACTGCTTTCGTAAGCACAGCCTCTCAGAGCTACTAGCATGGCTGCAGACTCTTCATCCTGTTTGTTCATTGATCATCAGTTAATATAACGAAATAATCTTCCTCTTCCTCCCTCTTCTCCACCCTTGAAAGGTTTCAGGAGTACAAGGCCCTGGAGACTCTGGTTGGCCTGCTGACTGATCAGCCTGAGGAAGTGCTGGTAAATGTAGTGGGAGCCCTGGGAGATTTTGCCCAGATACCTGCTAACAAGGCCATCATCCGCAAGAGTGGGGGCATCAAGTCACTAGTCAACCTGCTCACTGGAACAAACCAGGCATGTTTAATTTTCATGCTGCATAAATGGCTGTCTCATGTTTAGAGGGAAAGTTCGGTATTTTTGAAGTGGTGTTCCATAATTCTCTTCAGAGAAGTGACCACTGCAAGCATGGAATTGTCTCAATGCTGCACATGAGTGTTTTGTATAGATTTAGTGCAACAGGCCACAGCTTTCTAAGCCCAATATCAGTCAAAGGAACATGGGGAAATCTATGTTGTGATCACTCATTACTCTCTGTTTCCTAAAACTGGGGACACACTGACTGCCATCTACCTCAGGCACTGACTATGGATAAGTACCTTATACAGCCCCACTTCAGAAATCCCAAACTATCCCTTTAAAACTTGCTCCTATACTGAATCAAGAATGTACTTTGTATTCCTGTCATTTAACCAGGCGCTGCTTGTGAATGTAACCAAGGCAGTGGGCGCCTGTGCCACTGATATGGACAACATGGCGTAAGTCTCTGTCTCTTCCAGGGCATATAACCAGCTTGTGGTTTTTTACATACAGTTTACACAAGGCAAACAGCCCCATGTGAGGTGTCTCTTAAAATGTGATTAGTGGTTTACTAACTGTCATTACTGAATTAGCTCCAAACACATATTCTTGGACATGTATTGATGTCATGTGTTTTGACAAAGGAATGACACCAATTCTAGGATCCAGACACATGTATCATTAACCTGTCATGGGCTGATGCTTAAAGAAATCTACAGTGTGTTCTTTTAATCTGTAATTATGCAGGTACTTTTGTCTTTCATCCCCATCTTAATGACAGATTTTAAAAGCTTTGTTTATTGTACCTGCTGTGTTAAATATGGTTGTGGTTTAATTCCCAGTGCTTTACTATAGCTTTGTGGTCACTGTCAGGACTTTAACTGGTCAGACGAACATACCTTACCCTGTCCAAGACTACATGGCTGGGAAAACACAGTGAACCACAGTCCAGAGCAGTCTTTGTTCTGTGTTCATTTAACCTCACCCTCAATACTGCAGAACATTGTGGAGCTTCCATCTGTGCCTCATTGCTTTTACAAGGCTGTTATAGACTATAAGACCTGTCTTAATTAGCACTGGACACAAATACAACTTAATGACTGAGTTTACATTGTTAGTTAGCTGTTAATGCTATCATATGAGCCTTTTAATTTGTTTGGAGGAAAAACCAAGGGGTTCAATAAAATGTGATGCATGTCAAAATAAAGCCACTAACTGTTGTGAACTTCACATAAGATCAGAAGTGTTTTACCTCAGTTCATCATGTTCTCCATGTTTTCTCACAGTATGTATATTTAAGCCAGACAGATTTTTCAGCCTTAACACTTAGCTGTAAACAGAAAGTTCTAATTTCATCTGCCACTTTTTGTATGTTTTGTGGCGATGGCTTATTTTGAGAAATGTATGTGTACAGTAGTTTGCTGAGCAATTAACATAACTCACATTTGATTGTTTCCTACTCCAACCCAACACTGCCGAAGCTGTTTTTCTGATTCCCGGTGATTAGACGGTGTTTGGCTAGCTAACAAATATGATGATGATGTATGCATGATACCACACAGTTAGCAACAACATTCCTGTCAGTTAACATGACTTCATTTTACCAACAGATACTTTTTCTCAAACAGCACCTTCTGCTGATCAGCGCAATCATTCTCTCATCATCATTCTGATGCCGGTCATCCATAACTACTGAAAGCCCAAAACAAACACTGATCACTTTCAAGTTTTCCATGAAATAATCATATGTTTGTTTTCATTCTCAACCAGTAGGCAGTGTGTGGTTAATGACATAGCACTTCCTCCAATGAATCCTGTGTAGCTACAAGAGTGAACACAAGTTGTTTAATGCCTTCAGGGTTTGTGGTCTCCTCCTCTAATCCATCACTGTCAGCTGCAACTTCGTTGCTAATCTGTTTCATACCTGCTTCATGAGAAGACGGAGCTGTTTTGGCGGATGATATGACGCTTCACTTTTGTTTTTGGTCCGGATTTAAGAGGCCCCGCAGACTGGAATCTGATGTTATGATCCCTCTAGACTGATTTATGTGCAAACGGAAGACAGATGGCGCAGGGGACGTCCCTGATGAGTGTTCGCTCGTTGCCAGTCACGGAGATACTGTGATTAGAGAGTGTTTAAGTAATTATGACAGCATTCAATGTCGGCCTTGTTGGTGAAAGCACACATGGGGAACACGTTACATGTTATTTATACCAGACAACGGGTGCAGTGTGGCGTAATTCTTTGGGTTCCCAGACCCTGACTGCAGTTTTGACTACAGTCATGTATATGACTTGAAATACAGCTCATGCCTAAGTAAACTTCACTCAGACCCTATGAAATATAGAGCGACCTGTCTCTGGCTCTGTTTGATTTGGAAAGAGGTTGTCTTTTTGGCTCTGGTTGAAAAACAAGCCACCAAAATAAAGTGTAAGTTTGTCTCATTTTCTATTTATAAATCCATGTATGAAGCACTATGCAAGTTAACCTCTGGCCCTTGCATCGCCGAGCTTTTCCATAGGGAGTGATTTGAGTGAGCAGACAGTGGGTGGGTTTCAAGCTTGGAGAGGAACTTAGCAGGACTTAAGACATTTCTGATGAAAAGCCAATGCCGAAATCGATTGTTGCTTTGATCCTGCTTGGTTGTAGTTGTGTTGAGCCTGCTGCTGGCCAGGCTGATACATCCAGAGCACTGAGAAACAAACATGATCAAAAAAGTTACACTCTTAAATCTTTCAAGCAGAAAATGATGCTTAATGAAAGATCTGGTTGAAATCTCTTTTTTCGGTCTTGCTTATTCTTCTTTGTTCATTCCTTTCTCTTTTTCCTTCTTCTCTCTCTCCCTACAGAATCATTGACCAGCTTGATGGAGTCCGCCTGGTGTGGTCGTTATTGAAAAATCCCTGTGCAGATGTTCAGTCCAGTGCTGCCTGGGCCCTTTGTCCGTGCATTCAGAATGCAAAGGTGCAGTACAGTAACGTACATTTGTCTTCTGCCTCTGTCCTGTGACTATGGAAGTCAAGCACACCAAAGACACATAGATTGCCTCTAAATCAAAGAGGTCTGCAGAGTTCGTGTTGTTTCAGAACAAAGGGTTATCCCACAGACAAAACAGAAGCCTGCTTATATCACCATGCTCTCCCTCCAACCTGCTGCTGCTAGGAGGTTAGCAGGGGCAGAGAGAGCTGTGTCAGAGGAGGCTTACATGAACCTTGTGCTAATATGAAGCAGAGAAGCCTCCTTGGCACAGTGGGATTGGTGAATTGGGAAGCAGGCAGGGAGAAGGACTAATATCCTGTGGCATGGCTTCTGATTTCCCAGCTGAAAGTCTTCTCTCAACATGCTACTAGTTAGAGAGGCACACAATCCAAGCATAGTGTACCAGACAGTTTCTGGGAACTAATTTCTCTAATGAAAACACTCTTTGCAGAAGAACCCACAACATCTTCATGAAAACTACTTACATCATTTTAGATACTAAGCATCGTATATAAAATCAAAAGTTTGAAGGTCCATAAAATGGCACATTTTACACATCAAAATCTATTTGTAGGTTTTGGGGTGTAGGCTCCTACTGTATTTGAGGAAATATAATGTATTTTTAGTAAGTTTTTTTAATCTCCAGAGGGAGCTGTGTGAAGTATGATCAGTGTCCTCAAGTGATGTCACTTGAGCCAGTGTCCATTGGGACTGAAGACTACAAGTTTGCAAATGAAAGAAATCTGGAGGTGTGGAGTTAGAGAGACGTGAGCTTACCAGACCTCTGTAGCCTAATCCTCGTCTCTGCTTGAGGCTAGAAGCTTGAGGTTACATTAGTTGCTCCTAGCATAACACATCCGAATCTTCAACTGAACTGTCGGCGATCAAGTTCCATTGTGGGTAATATGGACACAAGGTTTTGACAAGGAAGACTATCTCTGTTTGTGCTGCATCGATTTTGATATTTTCTTAAAAACTGTCCATTGTAAGTCAGACAGTGTTACAGGAGGGCAATGCTAGATTAGTGGAGTACTCTTTAAAAAAATTATGAGTTCTTGGATGCTATCGTCACAGGCCTTTAGCCCAGTCTCACACAGCAGTGTTTTCAGTCAACTCTAATTTCAGTTACACATCAGCAAGTCTTTGATCCACTGAGCACTTGTATCAGTTCCAACTACAAACGTAATGTTGTTCTATTAGATTATCGCTGTGATTAAGGTAAACAGCTTGTCAGAGGGACAATCTGGTTAAGTTTAACAGATATATTGGACCCAGACAGGTGTCTTGGGGGTGAAGCCCCTTTTTTTTTTTTTGCTGGCTGAAATTTCTCTGGCCCAGAAGTGAAGCAAAAATGACGCATGGCAACCATATGGAGGGAGAGGGGGACTGCGGACCCACTGTTGAGCGCTAACAAAGTTTGACAATGTTTGTCTGAACGTCAGTGTGCCAATTTTGAGGGAAATTTATGAACATGCTTTTTGGGTGGGTTTTTTTTTAGACAGGGGCAAAGACAAGAGCTAAATAGTGCTCTTTGCCCATCGTGTTGAGGAACCTGATACAGTTGCTTCGGTGCAGTCGTTATTTAGATAAAAACCCAAATGTGGTTTGTGTTAGCAATTCCATAGTGGATTTAGGAGAGGGCCGTGGTATAAATGCATCTGCTATATGCTCTATACAGTACTGCCACCCCTCCATAGACACAGACAGTCCCTGTGCTCTATGCTCACTGGTCCACAACTTAAACTGTCTTAGTACTATACCATACTATAAAAAAACGATTCCGTTATCTTTTTTCTCCAGTCAAGGAAGTAGACCCTCCAAGTCGCACGTAATGAGGTGTATCATTAATTTGCCTGGATGCAGTGGCACATTTAGATGCTTGATTTATTTTTCCTTTACATAGTAGCCATGTATGTTACAGGAGCCTGATTGCTCCAGAGAAGGGGTCAGGGCACGCTGCTGCCATTCTGAGCTTGGCTTGCTCCCCTCAGCTTGAGATCACGCACAGCAGATAATATGTTTTCTATTTCATTTCATCCAGGGTAAGAGAAGGGGAGAGAGTGGAGAGCGAGAAAGGCCTTTCCGTGTGCAGCCTCATAATGTTTGCGGTTTTCAGATCTGGGGGCCCGTCCAGGCCATGAAAGAGATTCTGGCTAGTCTATCGCAGCTGGTGGCTTGAGAGAGCTTCCTCTGTCGCAGCGACTCCCGGCCAGCCGTCATCAGTATTCCTGAGGAAGGGCTTCCTGTGTGTCGGGGGGTCAGCTCCTGGCCCCGGCACCCCCCTCACTACCCTGCACTGCACACATGGCTCATCCTCTGGCACGGCATCACAGGGCCCATACACCGCACCCTGGCCTGATCTCAGCTGTGAGCTCTCTGAGCACAACAGTGTATCCAGCTCCCCCAAAGTAGCTGTACACTAAAACTGTAAATCAGTTACTGCTTTTTGTCAGTTCTGAATTTAATAAAATCCATTACTTTATGGAATGAAGAACAACTGTCCAGATCACATAATAAGTTCTGTGATTACTGTATTTTATTGTACTGTGCCATACATCCGCTCTGGACATGTAGATTGATGTTCAGACGGACTCTAATTAAGCGTGCTTTGCGATTTGCATAGACTCATCCATAATTGTATGATTTTGGGGAAATTTCCTTTCTATTTTCATTGCACTGAACATTACAGACTCGGCCACCTTGATGTATTCTTCCGTGGCTGGCGATACGGGGAATTGTGATTTTAAACAGTGGCCTGATGTGCCAAGCCATACTGAAGCGAGTGTCTCTGCCAGCCCTTCCGCTGTGGTTCTCTCAGTGCTCCCTACCAGCCTGTTGGTTTGGTAGCCATCTTATGGTGGTTGAGAGTCCTGTGGTACCAGCTGGTGCCATGGACTAAAACCATGAAGCCTTGAGTCTACACTGTGTGTCAGTCTGGGGCCAACATTTTCAGTGTCACTGAGCTATAAATTCTACGTGTCATCTTCATTATGAATAGTTAGGGTGAGAGCAGGAATGGTTGACAAAGATGTCAAACTTATTGCTTGTTCGCCCAGATCCAAAAAACACTACTGTAGGATAGTTGTTATTTTTGAAAGCATAAAGACCAGTTCTACTGGTGGGTTTGCACCGATGGGACTTGTTTGGATTGTTGCCTGGGCTGATGAAATTACTTTGTTTGTAATTATATAGTGTGCTTTGTTTTGTCTGCCTTGCTCAAATGCCATCTCTCCTCTTTCCTTAGTCATTACACTACATCCCTCCTCTTCATCACTGTCCTTTTTCATTTTGACAGAGCACCAGCTAATAACAAACTCTTTGACTATAGGATGCAGGGGAAATGGTGCGCTCCCTCGTCGGTGGATTGGAACTGATTGTTAATTTACTGAAGTCAACAAACAACGAGGTGCTGGCAAGCATTTGCGCCGCCATTGCCAAAATAGCCAAAGACAAGGAGAATCTGGCAGTCCTTACTGATCATGGGGTTGTGCCATTGCTGGCCAAGTTGACTAACACAGTAAGTACACCTCACTGTCAATACACAAAGAAATCTCTTTACAATGGACTATTGAATGCAGCATAAATCCAGTGTGTGTTGCAGAGTTGTAGTAGAGTTTGTTGTTGTCTACGTTGTAAAGACTGGTCTCAGGGGACCAAAAGCATCCGGTTCTGCTCTCTACAGACTGATGACAGGCTTCGTCGCCACCTGGCTGAGGCCATTGGCCACTGCTGCATGTGGGGCAGCAATACGGCGTCCTTTGGTGATGCTGGAGCTGTGGCCCCCCTGGTGCGCTACCTCAAGTCAAAAGACAAGGCAGTACACAGGAGCACGGCGATGGCCCTGAACCGGCTGTCCATGGACCCCAACAATTGCATTACCATGCATGGGAAAGGAGTGGTCAAGGTCAGTTGTAATGCTGTTGAAGCTGGATTTCTGACTCCTTACTGCTTTTTTGTAGAAAATGTATGGTATATAAATTATAAATAATAGATATAAATTAGTAGTTGTTTCTCTGGTTTGTTTGGTGCCTTTGAGAATAAATCTGGCATAATTACATTGAGGAAAATGTGCTTTGGCCTCCCACCACCCTTGTTTTAGCGATGTGTGAAAAACACTGAGTAATAAACTTTGAAAAGCTGACTATTTTCAGAGCCTTTGACCGATGGAGCAGAAACAAAGTGGGTTTTATTCGGCGGCGGAAACATGACTCCACTTTCTAGCCGTCATGGGAATTCAGAAAAGCAAACAGCTCAGTGTGTGCGCAGTGCCATTTCTCCGGTAGACCCTAGATGCCATTACAACACAAGTCAAAGGGCTGTAGCTGGGGGTAACTGTTGCTAAGGGCTGTTCCTGGACATCAGGGTAGAATGCAGCAGCGATATGGTTCAGGCCAAAGAGTGTGGCAGAGCTGTTCAAGGCTAAAACAGAACAATGTTTTTTTATGGTCAACGTTTTTTCCCCAACTCTGTAAAGCTACATCCGCCAGCTTTCTTCTTCATTGCAGTTGTGTTCCAAAAAGAAACAGGCATTGTTTTGTCTAACATTTGAGCCTGTTGGGCTATTTCCATGCTCAGCTCCAGAGACTGTTTATGTTTGTCTCAGACAGTGATGTGGAGATTTAATGTTAAGATTATGCTGTAATTGATGTCTTGTCACAGATGATCATGTACCCATATTTCAGCATTTTGGGAAAACATTGCTATCTTATTCTCTAATTCAATCATGTTTCACATAGGAAGACTTTCACATGAGAAATCTTTTTGTAGCCACAGTTATAGCCCCCCCCCCAATAACAACTGTGATATAAATTATGAAGTGGTCATGCCATTGCAGCCAGATATTTTTTTCCCATGTTCATTAAATGGTGTACTTTAGCTTGATCTGCTGTTACAGTGTATGTGGTTCAACACTAGCCATAATTGGTAGCTGGACTGAACATTGGGTGTTCCGAAAGAGTTATGTCCAATTTGCAAAAGTCGTTAAGCTGAATGCTTTTTGTAGTTTGAGCCACGACAAAAACTGGACAAGCCCTCTTTTTTTGCTCTCACTGTGTGTGTGTGTGTCTATATTTGAAATTCTAGGGTGAGTTTGTGTGTATAGGCGAGAATGTGTGTGCAAATGCAAGACATGCCACCCTTTTTAATCTGTCTCTGTGTTTGCCCTTATTAATGTACCAGTTAAGAGTTGCAACACTACTCCATAATGTATTTTTGGACTTTTAAAGAGCTTAATTACCAAAGGCCACGTAACTGCACCAGCATTTGCATTTGTTCTTAATCTCAGACATGGAAACACAACACAGGCAGCCTCATTGTTCAGTCTGGCCTCGGTCTCAGCCAGTCTGGGAGGGAGGCTGATACTTACCTGCCTGACCCCGGAGGAAACATTACAGTGTGAGAACTTGTCAATCTCTTCTATTCAGTGTGCGCTGTAATGCTCAGCTTCGTGATAAACAGGAGCTTGGTAGAGAGAATGTGTTAAAACAATATCTCCAATACTTCTGAGTAGAGGATTCATACAGTGCACTGTGTCTAATTTACGGCCCTGTGTAAAATGCTGGACTGCCTCTTATATTATTGCAACCGTATTTCAAAGAGTTTTTCTGTGCTGTTGAGGAGCTCTCCAAACATGTTCACCCACGTGTAGTATATGATTTCGAATGAGCGAAGGTCTCTCTTTCTCCAAAGTTGGTTTAGCAAGTAACTTTCCTCTCTAGGACACTTAATGGTGTACGGCCCAGTCCCTTAAGATTCACAGGGGAAATCAAGAATTGAAAAGAAAGTATTTCACACTGGAAAACACATTAGTGACCCGTCTTAGTCTTTTTATTTGACCTCTTCTAAAGTCTTGAAATCTGGTCCAGAGTCAGTTAAGTAATTTAGTGTAAATACTATTAAACACACTTTGATTTGTTTTGGACACAACCTGCTGTCATTCACACGTTACTTTAGTCTGTTTTGTTGCATACATTTTCTTTCCACACTTTTTCCTTGGAAACTGCAGGCCTCTCAGATCAGACTTTGTTCGAGCAAAGGGATTCAGGTGCTCACTCTCACAGGAAATACATACCAGGGAAAAGAGGATTTTAGCCTGAGAGATGAATCGCCCTCACCGTTTGATTTGACATCCACGCTTGGTATCTTGCAGTTTTATACGGATGTGCTTTGTTTTGTGTCATGTGCAAAATCAACATGCCTTGCCCGTGCGCTTTACATCGCTTCCAAAAGCACTGGGGATTGTTTGCTGAAACCATAAATCCTTGTAGACAGCTTCAGCCAGCTTTTTGTATTAAATAGGCTCTTTCATAAGAAAAGCTTTGTGAAGTAAATTGATGAAAATTACAAAATGTGGATGGTAATTATTGGTAATTTTCAACTGAAGGTATTCCAGAGTGTAGCTTTTGCCAGGTCCTGGTATGTATTTTAGGCTTTTACTAATCTAAATGAGAAAAACGTTTGCACTTTCGTTGCTATCAGCACACTTCTGCCCCGGCACGGTTAGTGTTTGTTTCAAGTTTTTTTTCTCTCAGACTTCAGGAGTGAAAGTTCGCAGAGAGGCTGTGGGGGGCACACATTAACACCAAACACCAAATGTGCGGGAAGGAATAGAAAGCAAGCAGAGCGTTACAGGTTTACTTCTACAGTTTCCTATTGGTTTGTGTGTAACATGACTTCAGGTTGAGGGTGTGGTGAGCAGATGATACAGGCGCTGTGTTCTGCCTGCTCTGTTATGACTACCATGTTTTTGAGATCCATGGAGTGTAATGTTTTAGAGCTGTTGACTTAATCCTCTCTCCCTACGCCTGGACCAGAAGTGCCAAGCCATGTTCTTCAGGTTGAAGTTAGGGTTCAGACTAGAAACTTTCGCCTTAAAGTCATTGATTTGAAAGCTACCCTCCCTCCTTTTCCTCTTCCTCTTTAGAGACACTGAAAAAGCAGCTAAACAGTCTGTGGCTCACCGGAGGCTGCAGGGAATGTTGTTTACCTTGACTTCCTTCACCAACTTCCCCTCAGCCCAGCTAAACACTGCTGTCTGTTTGTACCATTTGCATCCATGGTGGATTGTAAGACATGGGGATGCTGGGATGTAGGGTGGGTTGATGGAGCCATAATGGCTGTCAGATCTGGCACAGGGGAATTAAACTCCTGCAGGCAGTTGCGGTCCAACAGAGCGCACTTAACACCGTGACACCTCCATGTGCAATAGGATGTGTGTGTACACATGCCCAGCCCTCCCAGACTGCACCCCCCCCCCCCCCAAAGCTCCCTTCTTGGAGGTCAGGACTCACCAGAGCTCTCAGAAGTGCAAAAAAACCTCAAAAACTCACGAACGTGGGGCAAGTGTTCATGTTACCACAGTCAGGGAATATCTAACAAGTGGCGTATTATATTCCTCCAGATCCCAGCTGGGAGGGAAAGAGTAAGCTAGAAAAAAAGGTAGCAAAGAGAGACACGCTTATCTTAACCTAGCTGTGCGCTTCAGGAGACCTTATTTGGCGACGTCTGAATAACATGCCATGAGGTTGGCAAAAACGCTGCCTCTGGCACTTCTCAGGCATCCTCTCTTTTCACAAAAGAGACTTGTTTAGTGAGCTTCATGTTTTCTGGAGCCTGTGGATGTAAGTTTGCTTTTGGAGGTGTTTTGGATGCTATTTAAAAATCACATAAAACCTGGAGGCAAATGTTTCACATATACTCCTCGACACTGCTGCACTGAGAGGAGCTGACATCTTGGACCGCACTAAGCCTTTTTCCACAAAATGCTGTGATTATAATCAGGAGGAAGGATATTATTTTCTCAGTTTTTAACTGAACTTATACTGTAAGTTCACAGTCCTTTCATGCTCATACAGCACACACAAGCTGGCTCACCTCATCTTTCATCTGTTTTCCTTTCACTGTTTATCTTTGCACTGAAAATCCTGGGAATGCCTTCTCGCTGCTTCTTTGGCTGTTTGCTAACCACACAAATGTGCATAGTGGCGTTTTAAGTTTGCATGTAACATGGAGGTGGGTCAGGGTCATGTATTGTGAACACAATAATAACCTGAGAGGAAAACAAGATTGCCCTGAGCAGCTGGATAGAGATTAGGCTATGTCTACGAACAAAAATATTATTGACAATGATTATTCAAGTTGAGAGTGACATTTCATTTGTGTGAGAGCAACAAAGACATTCCATCACTTCCTATGTTGATAAGTGGAGCCCCTGCTGAACAGGAGAGAGGCTTTTGAATAAGGAGGAAGCAAGGGAAGGGAATGGAGGTTGGAGAGAAGCTCTTTGAATTATTCTGCTGCCTTAAACTACATCTTAACCACTGGCTTTATGTAAGTTTTGAAGAGGCTTAGTCATTTCCTTTGAGAGTGACAATCTTGAAATTGTCCTCTGTGTCGCTCAGAATCTACAGGGATGTGACATTGCTACACTGAAACCAGGGAAACAAAACTGATGGTGTTCAAACATCACTTGTAAGCCTGCTGCAGCACAATCTTTGTTAAAGAAATCTTTTTCAAACTCCTTGTTCACATAGTGGAGTGGAGGCCTATATATATGGGGCCTCAGATGTCTCAGCAGTTACTGTATTTATCAAAACTTCATTATATGTTTAGGAACAGGGAGTCCTTAAGTGCTTAGTTGAGGGATGTAAAGTTTGCCGTTGGTTCATTATAGACATAAACAAGACAATCCAAAATAATTGCAAGTGTGGCTTAGGAAACCTCAGTGGCACACCATTGTGATTTTACCAAGGAGCACACATTGAACAAATTTAGATTCACCCATTGCACCGGAGTGTTTGTGCTACATTTAATTTATTTTGTTTCAGCCCCATAGCTACCACAAACATAATGTAGTGATTTTGCTGCAGATAAAATAAGGAAAAAAGTTCACCCCTTCAAAACACATGGCACTCAGTGGTATTCCATATACCCAGTGTGTTCCTTTTTGCTTATTTCTGTATAAAACGCAACTCTTTGAACGTACAAAATCTTTTATATGTTCAGTTTTATGTAACCCCAAAAAATACTTCCAACATCAGAGATATCTGGAGAGCCCAAAACCTTGTTCTGCAATAAGATCTAACGAGATCCATTACACAAGCCACTAATAGTTGCATATAATCTGACCTTTGGAACGGCGGAAAGGCTGTCAAGTGGTGTGGTTCATGCTCAGGTTTTTAATGTCGAGCCTGCCCTGCACGACTTTCATCTGAACAAACTTACAGAAGCATATGTGCTTGCAGCTGTAGCCCCTTTGCCGAGGCATGGTTTGGAAGGGTAAAGTGGGACACACACACTGAATACACACATGTATATACACACACCGAGTGACATGTGCCGGTGCAGTCACTGCATATGTTTGCAGCCAACGCCGGTGGTAATGTGCAGCGACTGCTGCTGACAAATGTAGCAGGCTAAATATTTGGGCACTAGATGTTTTTCCAACGGTGTATTAGTACACCGTTGGAAAATAATGATTCTTTGGGAATCTGTTCCTGCTGCCAACTGTAACCTCTGTGCTTTGTACTCCTGCAGCCCCTCATCCACATCATGGGCTCTGATGATGAGACACTCCAAGAGGCTGCTGCTGGCTGTGTGCGCAACATCCGACAACTGGCCCTGGCTAATAGGAAGGCCCAATTATTTTATTGACAATCAATGATCAGAGCACCCCTGAAAATCCAATGGGGACTGTACAAAAATGGAGGGGGGCACATTACCACTGTCACTAAAAAAGGTAGCGTGGCACAGGCTGCACTGCAATATTTTGACTTAGCCCATTAGTAAAACAGGTTGGGTTGTGCTATATTATGTGTGACTTTGCTGTTGTTCTGTCAAGGCTAACTGTTGGCTAGTGAAAAAATGGTCTGCTCTTTAGAGAGAAAATGTTAAATCTCTATTAACTGTAATGATCCACATCTGCTATTTCTCAAAACTGCAAATGGCAGTGTGTAGTTTTCATCCATCCACAAAAGCCTTGTTTTTGACAGAACTTTTTTGTAACTATAACATCTTTTTTACAGTAAATTTGGCAAGAAATGGATGAAGTAACATACAAAAGTAACAGTCCCTCCCTACTATATCAAAGCAATCAGACTACCCTCCATTTAGCAAAATGAAAAAATCTCACCCTTTTCTGATCCCACCCAGTCATTTTTATACAGTCCCTTACCAGTACAATTTGGCAGGCTCTCACCATAGCATCTGTCTTGTTGTACATTAACTTCAGAGTTTGATTCAAAAGTTTTTGAAAATATTTTCAAATTGAAAGTATGAGAAAAGTGTTTCACTGCTGTTTCAAATAAAATGTATTATATTGATTGGAGAGTGTGTATTTATTTGTGCTCCTGCTTCCGTTTTTGTGGCAAACTTTGATCGTTTACCTCATCAGGAGATCATACAAACGTTTTAGGAAGCCCTCTTCTCGCTCTCTGACTGTGATGATAAAAATAAATGCTTCTTTTTCACGTTTGATCTTACGCCAAATACCCCATACGTTGTTCGGCGTGAAACACTTCGAAGCTGTGTTCTCTGCAGTAACATTCCTTAAGTAATTCACTCGAGACCACAATATCTAAACAAGACCCACATCTGCTTGGGTTACTCAACCTCCTCTTATACATTTGTAACACATCCAAAATCAGAAAACACACAGCCTGCAATAAGATATTTAGATAAAGAATAACTTGCTGTTAGTTATATCGCACCAGTGTGGAATAGTCTGCACAAATGTTATATGTATATAAATGCCACACGTTAATATGAACACATAAATTCAAGCACTGTTATTATAAGTGGATAAGAAATGCCTATAACAATCAGGAATACAATAGTGTGTCCTGCCTCCACCACAGAGATTCTGTACAAGAATGAATTTGAATCAGGATTTTCCACATTACTCATTTATTTACAGTAATTTCAGATTTTGTAGAGGTATTTATTACAAATAAATATATATATATTTACAACAAGCTCATTATTTTTGTCAGTAAAAACAAAAATGGTGTACATATTTTGCCAGTTGGGATCATCTCTGTACCAAAGCACTTGCATGGCATTTAGTCAGCAGCAACTATAAAACAATCTAATGAAGGGTTTTTGGGAAACTGCAGCAAATTGCTCTGCTTTTTTTCCAAAAGCAGTCATTGTTTTTTTTGTTTTTTTGTTGCTGAATATCTTTATTATAAGTTATTTCCATAGTTATAATCCTGTCTTTTTCTATACTGTACACATTTAGACCTTTTTATATACAGTCTATGATTCAGACACAGCTATAGAAATGGTGTATGAGTGCAGCGGATCTGGGCTCATCTGATCCTTTTGGTTTTTGTTTATGTTTATTATAAACAGGCCATGTCAGGCTTGACAGCCTTTTGCACAGCAGATTTCAGCAAACGATTGTTGGCCCCCACCACCCTCTCGCATGTCTGTCAGCTTCTCTGTCTCTCTGATCCAACTGTCCTGGTCCCAGTTAACTTAGATGCTCAAAACTCAACCACAGAGGCTGCCACAAAATCTCCTAGGACTTTATCATTAATATCAGCCACGTGCTAAAATAGAAAATTAGCAAAACATTGAAAATATGTGGTTGAAAATCTTCATCACTCTTTGATGTTTAAACACTACCAGCTGTTAGCGGGGGTCACTGCAGGAGCATGGATGGAGGAGAGTGGATGCCTGAACTGAGTGAAGAAGCAACTTCCTTGCAAACACAAAACAAAACTAGGAGCAGAACCAAGCCCCTGACTCCAAACCATTCAAAGCAAATAAATTCACAATGATTAATAGCTCTTTAATTCAACGCAGCAAGCTTCATGGCCACTGCAACATGCCCAGTGTCAAAACTGATTTTCAAGAGACGTTTGAAGAAAAAGCATTTAGTCACTTAAACAAACAAAGAGGGAAACATTGGGGTTTTTTTGTGTATAGCTGCTTAAGCTTTCCTTTTCTCTTGCTGATGTTTTTTCATGCTTTTACATTTAGCTATCTAATTTCACCTCTTTTTCCTTTTTTATCCTTAAAAGGAATAGTTTAACAGTTAACAGTTTGTTTAACAGTTTGGGTCATAGCTTATTTACTTTCTTTCCAAAAGCTAGATGAGAAAATCATTATCATGCTCTCACCAATATGAATATATAACACAATAACATATTAGCACAATGAATCTCAATTTATTTATCCATGCACAAACAGAAATATAAAATAGTACATGTGTTTTCTTGTTTACGGTTGGTATCTCTAGTCTTGTTTACCCATTACATCAAGACGAAAACACAACTTGTCTTGATTGCATTTCATTTTGTAAATGGGGCAGCTGCGGCTCAGGGGGAGAGTGGTCATCTTGGGGAAGATACTGAACCCCAAATTGCTCCTGAGGTTTGTCACACACTGATTGTTCCATCAGTGTGTGAATGTGTCTGAATGCATGTGAATGTGTATTTCTGTTCTGATGGCAGATGGCATCTTATCCTCTGCCTCATTGTGTGTGAATGGGATGAATGTGATGGGTAAAAGCGTTTTGAGTCATTGGAAAGGCGCTATACAATTACTTACCATTTATATGAATTAAACAAACACAATACAACATGCTAATTAAACAACTTTAGGGACTGTCAGGCATATTTTCTAAGTTTGTACATAGCCAGGCTAGCTGTTTCCCCCTGCTTCTAGTCTTAATGCTAAGCTAGGCTAACCACATCCTGTCTCCAGCTCCATCCAGCACAATCACGACATATTGATTTTCTCATCTCACTCTCGGGAAGAAAGCAAATAAATGTATTTCCCCAAATGTTCAATTATTCCTTAAACAAACTATGCATGTTAAAGAATTTATGAGCAGCGCATTTCCACTCCGTTTTAGTCGTTGTGGGTTACTGTTGGCTTTCTGCAGCAACCTGATTTCGCAAACAATGTAAACAAGAAACCCTGTGTCTGTAATTGGGATAAGAGATTAGACAAAATGTTGTTAACACAATGAGATTTCTTTGCCAGGATTTTCTTCGTATACATTTTTGGCTTTGGGGTTCACAGGACAGCTCAAGATGTTTAGTAATTAGAAGAGAACAATGGATTCTTCCTCTGCACATTGGCTTCCCGTCATGCCTTCAGACCTTGATAAGCTGTGATTTGCATCATTTAAACACAAAGAAACAGGGCTTTACTTTCCGTTCTGAACCTGATGTTAAACCTTGCAGAGCACACAGGAGCCGCTGCAGCAGGAGCCTGGCCCTCAGGCCCATTGGTCATAAAGCCACAGTTGAGTGTATTAGTTGAGCCACAAACCCTCTGAGAAAAGAAACTGCCACTTTCTTTGGCTCGGCGTCTGAAACAGGGACATTATTCATGGGAAATTAGAGGTTATGCTTCCATGCCTCGGCAGAGTCAGCAATTACGTCCGGCTCTGGCCTTTCTGGTCACCATTCAAAATCCCATGCTTCTCATCACTTCACGGAAGCGATGGAAATAGTGGAGGGATATCCCTGATGTTGTTGCTCCTGTTTTGAGGGAACATGTGGGTCCTGGCATTGCCACACCCCTGTATCTCAACTGGTGTGTCTCACCATTGGCCCGACCTTCACCCTGTCCAGACTCCTGCAGAGGTTTCCCCTGGGTCAGGGTGATGGATGCAACCACATTTGAGAACTGTATTACACAGTACACAAGACTTATGTGAAATCTGTCTATCCACATTTTGGGTGGACAGAGTAATAAATATATATCGCTTATTTTTATAGTCAGGCAGTCCTTCAGAGAGTGTGCTGTGTATTGTGATACAAGCTCAATTGTTTTAAAATGGAACTGCTCTTTGAAGTTTTTTTTAAAGATCCCACATCTCGCCAAGCATTCTGCAGCAACGTTTCATAAAAGAAACTAATGAACAGTAAAAGGTCTTTCCAAATATTAGAAGTGGCTTTCTGTCCCCTTCAGTGTCTGAGGACCAGTTTTAATATAAAATCACAAACTGTTGCCCAGCAGTGGCAGCAGCGTGGTTTGCTTGCAATGTTGCCATTAATAACATGCGTGTACACAACGGCCTCTCAGAGCTCCGTCCAAACAGAGAGCAGCGCTCTCTGGTAGCCGAGGCCCGTGGGGTGAACACGGCTTCTCTTCTCAATCTGTAAATTAGCTTTTATATCATAACAGCATGCTCACACCACCAGGTCTGTCGGACAAAGCCTTGCGTGTCATGCTCACCTGCTGTTTGCTCAGTGGCCTGCCTCGCTGCATCAGTTTCCTTCCTTCGGTTGCTTACAAGATCTCCCAATTCTATAATCCTCAGAAGGTTCTGGGCTGTCCTGTGATCCCCTTGCATTTGTAAAAGGGCTTTCATGGCACTAATAAATCCTGACATTCCTTTCCATAAAGTGTAAATAACAAGCTGGTGTGACAATAAATAAACAGAGAAATGAGTGGGCAAATACCACAGTGTAGGTCCGATTTCAGGCTACAAGAGTAATGTCTCCATAAAGGTCTCAGAAATATTAATAATACCATCATTGGTCATGGCAGCAGTGGCTTTTGGCCATGTGCGTTAATTACAAGCACACTTGTTTCTGTGTTTCTGTGTTCAATTCTGAGCATTACATGCTCAAATCGATTTTTTTGCACGCACAAAAATTATATTTTGTACAGAAAGTTTCATGCAAAGAATTATTTAATTTGAGCAAATATAAATCCCTTCTGTGCTATATGGGTGTTTGCTGTTACCCACATACCAATAACCTCTCTCAGTCAGTCCTCTCTCTCATTTGAGAGTGCAAGAGAGACATTATGAGCAAGTGTCCAAGCGTTTGAGAGTTCTCAATGTAGGGAATTAGAGTAAGAACAAATATGCAAAACTGAGTGAGAGTTTTATTGTGTGCTTTTGTAAGTATAACCAAACACAAATTTTATTATTCTTTGCGTAATAATAATTTATCAACTAAATATAATATATGTGCTGGCAAAAATCTTTTTGTTCTCAAAGTGATCATTCCCATGCTTGCAGATGAGACAAATGAAAGCCATCGGTGGCAGCACGAAAAGTCTGCCTTAATTGGGAGTGGCAGGAAGTGATGACTTACGTACAAATGGGGGACAAAAAACGCTCACTTCTGGACGTATCACTTTGATGATGAACTAGATAATAGACAGCCCATTCTCATTCCCAGGACGTCAAATACCTACGCTCTGTCACATCCTTTGGAGTCTGGTACCAACGCACAAGGCACATTGTTCAATGCTAAAAGTAGGCCTATTATAAATACCAGAAAAGTCCAAGTAAGGAGGTAGTTGGTGTGTTTTGTAAACAAAAAGTCAACATTGATTGTTTTTAGTAAAG